ACTGCGGCAGTGCCGATAGAAAACGGCAGCTTTTTTGGCACTGCGGCAGTGCCGATAGAAAACAGCAGCTTTTTTTGGCACTGCGGCAGTGCCAAATCGGCACTGCGGCAGTGCCGATAGCCACTACCAGCCACAATGGTTTCCCCCTGTCTGACCATGGAGTTATAATTATTTATAACTCCATGGTCTTACAAACCTGCCCCTAAACAGGCAAGCCTCCGCCTCCTAACAAACTCGCCCTCGACTATACACAGTGACCCACTAAAAATTTTACCCCTAACAAACTCGCCCACTAACAACAAACTCACTTTCTTAACAGAGTCGTTTCCTGAGTAAAGTTACCTAACTAAAATCTTGCACTAAAAGTCAATCGTGACGTCATCACTGTAACTCTCAAAGTTATTTGCCTATTCCCCAGCATCCAATAATTTGTATTATTGGACGCTTGACTTGATTTTTTTAAGGTTCGTGTGCAAAAAAAAATTCCTCATTTTTTCATCACCACAGCGAACACATCACACACCGCAATAAAAATTGAATTCGTAAAACAAGCTTAATTAGAACCCGAAGAAAGTTACTTCAAATTCAATATTAAGTATGAACAATTAAGGAATTCATTGAATCAGTGGACCCTCATAAACACAACAAACTGAATGTTTAATAGAAATATTCTAGACCTATTTTAAAGACTAGTCAAAGAACAAATTTAGATGTAGGCCTACGACCAGGCAGGCCGCCCGGGCCTCCTCCCTACTATTACTAGGCATAGGCCGTAGCCTGGCCTAGTTATGAAATCGCCACACGATTTTACCTGTCTGCATGCACCGACCAAAAACGACGTCAGTGACTGTATTCCCTCTTGAATGCTGAAATGTTTATTTCTTCGACGAAAGTCCATCAATATAGCATTACAAACAAGTTCTTTCTAACACAGTTATTCATCGTATCCGTACTGTACTGCTGATGTTAGATGAGTTAAGCGCGTACTGCAGGAGCAAAAATCAACATACGCACTGCTAAATCTAAATACGCACACGTATACTGATCATATCACTATAGCAACCGATGGCTGCTACAGCAGTTGGTTATAAAAAATTAAAAGACAGCGATTGACTTACAAAGCAATTAGTAGAGCATGCATCGTACACTAAACGGAAAATTATTATACTTGGGTTAGATTTAATGCATTCAAAATTTTTTCAAGCATTAAATCTAACCTTTGTACAATAATTTTCCTATAGAGTACTATATGGAGCTCTACTAATTGCTTATTAATATTATCAGATCAATCATAATTGTGTTGAAACGAGTAGAACAACATATTGGTATAGATATTATCAAATTGTTTGACTTGGTCAAGATGTGGAAGAAATTTATTATATTTATAATATATTGGTATTGTTTATGTTTTCATGTTATTCACATAAATATCATCATACATAAATATCAAATACAATATGAATTAAAAGACACTTACTATATAATTTCAAAACATGTTTGCAATTACAATATATTTTATTAAATCATATATTAATAGAATTGAAAGCATCCAACGTAGAGCCACCAGAATAATTATGTTTAAAAAAAATGGTGACTGGGACACACATTATGAAGATAGGCTGAAAACGCTTAACATATTAAGCATAGAAGATATTTTTAAATATCACCGGCTTGTTCTTGGTTTCAAAGTTCTTCATAATGTGTGTCCCCCAACATTAACAGAGTTTGTTCATAAGAGTGAGCGATGTGAGGGTAGGTTTATTCACTGGAAAGCCAAAAGCAATATTTTTCTTAATTCTGCTTTAGTGTCCTTTCCCAGGCTCTGGGAAGAAATACCTCCTCTACTTCAAAACTCTGTTAATGTTTCCTGTTTTATGAATAATTTAATTAAGCATTTTATTTCATTTTATGTTTCTGATTAGTTCTGATTGTTTTTGTGTATTTCATTTTATTTGAAGGATAGGGAGAAAATATTGTTTGGGCTTTCGCCCATTCCCTATCCGGGCAATGCATGATGTTTTTCTTCTATATGCTTTTTGCCAAATAAATATTATTATTATTATATTATGGTAATACATTATATTCATTAATGATTTACTGTTAACTGATAGAAATAATTAAAAATGTTTATCATCATCAATGTTTCCACATTTATGGCACTGAATTTCTAGTTCTGCAGAATAGGAATCATTTGTTAGGGGGTGAGTTTGTTGGAGGGAATTGTTATTGAGAGAGTTTGATAGGGGGTGCCTTTGTACTGTCGGAGGTGAGTTTGTCAAGGAGACAAGTTTGTTAGCTGCAACTTTGCTAGGGGGCGAGTTAATGGGAATACAAACCAACTATATACCTTGCCAGTTGTAATCCCCACCCAACAGTAAATTTTAATTTCAACTAACACTTTCTGGAAATAGTCTGTTTCCATCAAATTGGTTTTGGTTGAGTTGTTTTTTTATATGAAATATACTAAACAGTCCAGTGGTTACTAGCATGTAAAGAAATACCCATCGTTAGGAAAAAGCTGGGTCTAATTACACACGACAAGAAACTGTTTTCATCTAGTGTAGATCCTCAATATTGGTAATTATTATATACTTTTTTTTCTAAGAAATAATTTACAGTATTGTTATGTTAATTACAACTGCCATATTGAAATGAAATAAATGTTGTTTTTAGACTGAATTTAAATTTATATACAGTATCTAGTTTAGGCAAAGAACTTAAATAGTAGAAGAATGAGCTGCTTCACGTATTTGTATTAAAATTGATGGAACATCCGCCCTCCTGCGAATGGGGAAAAATTTGACCATTTTACCAAGTGGAGAAACTACAGGAAACAAACTGCTATTTATTATCTTTGGTTCAGGTGGATACCACTAATCAGCCAAATATTGGTACTTCACATGTACTGTAGCAGGGCCAGCTCGTAGCAGTGTAGGGTGCTGATGACCTAGGATCACCTGTCTAAATATATTTGTGTTATAACTTACAGATTGCGTTTAAGGAATTGTGATGGGAAACACAAACACCAAAGGTACAGTATGTTTAGTACTGGTAGCGTTCGTGTTTATTATTTGCTTACAGTGCTGTATTTATTATGTAAATATCTTCATTATGATTAATATAATATCTTTCTAGATATATTTAGCAGATCCTAATTCTCAAATGCAAGGTTGAAATATAAAGGAATAAATCACAACCAAAAATAACCCAATAAGAAAGTATAATCATACTCCAAGTGTTGACATGCATGCCATTGTGCTGGGATTCAAAAATGACCCCATGTGTTGGACATGGTCAGTACACACCCACCTCATACCTGAGGCGAGAAAATGTTTAGGATAAATGGAAATCTCATAATTATAAATGTTTTTATAATTGCCTTTTTGTGATCCAACCTAAATTTGTTCACCTATCAGCCCAACCAAGATAAACTATTATCATAACAATAATACTAAATAGTTAAATACTGTAGGGCTTCATACCAACAAGACCTCTAAGTGCTTCACAACAGTATGTGGTATATGCATGCGTGGTTGTTACTCCTTGACTATCGACTGACCCCTCCACACAAGGGGTTTGTTGACCCAGGTTGAGAACCATGGTTCTAAAGAATGAAGACTCAGTCTTATGTGAGGGCTTGATGACACAAAATTTAACAAGTTATAATACTGTACATACGGTAGAGTAAGTCTCTAGTATTCAAGCTGTTTGATATGGAGGCCATATATTTCAGCATAGCTACAGTAACTTGGTGACTCGCCATTTGTTCAAATAATATTTTCATAAAAATTTTCTCTGTAAACATATTTATATTTCAAACAAAAACGCCTAAATGGTCAAGGGTCAGTCACTATCTAAAATATTAAAAGTATGTAATTATTGTGACCAGTCAGGGAGCTGGACTCATTGTAAATAATTAACTTTTGAAAATGTATTTGCACATTATGGTTTCAAAAGTTACCAACAAAGTAAAGGAGCAACAGATAGAGATGTAAAACCGTAGGGAAAAGAACACTATCAACGTAATTGTTTTTTATTGCACTTTGATTAATCTTCACTTCAATGATGGCCCCCGGATTTGCTCGATGGGCAGTGGGATCAGTGTCCCTAATGGTAGGGCAAGTGGCCAAGGCCAAAGGCTGCCAAAAAAAATCTGAATATTAGTAGACCCAAAAATCGATTAAATAAGCCTTTGAAACGCCTAAATTGTCAAAATTTATGGGGGCTTTTCTCCCTGGACTACTTTCGAATCATTTTAAGCGACGTTCGACAACACCCACTTTGCTCTTGCTGGGGAAATCTGCCCCCCTTGTTGGGGGCACCGGCCCCCGTCAGGAACCGCGGACCCCTACTGGGAAAATCCTGGCGCCACCCCTGATAACAAGCATGGCGTACAAAAAAATTTTATTTTATGTAATTTCCAGTGACTCTACAAAATATTATACCAATACCAAAGTATTAGATGTTTGATTCAATGACTGGGTAATAATGCGAAGAACACAGAGGCCTACTTGGCATGATGCGCTGTAAATATTAGTTATTTTTTATAACCCACTTGCCTGTTTTGGATACCAAATAAAAGTTAATACTGTCATTGTCACTAAAATGGGAGACCCTATCATGTAAATTTGATTAAGTTTGATGTACTAAACATTCTATTGTACATAACATCTGCAACCACACAAAATATTTTGGTGACCCTATTTTGGGTTGCGACCCATAGTTTGAATAACATGGGAGTTAGTGACTTACAATCCCTTTGGAAATATTGTTCAACAATTCTGAAGTGAGGCCCTATACACATTTTTTCTAGTTTCCGTTATGGAGGTGGTAATAAAGTGACAGAGCCTGTTTGTAAAGTAAGTAGCTAATCCTGTTGCATTAAGAACTTAAATTATAAAATAACACGCACATGCCACTGATCTCTACTATAATAGCTGGATTGCTCATCAGCCAATCCTTGTATAGAAAAAAGTGAGGCTACCAAAGCCATGTTGGAGGGCCTAAGTGTTGTACTAGTTTAGACAGATTTCAACAATGCAAATAACTTCGCTTGCGCTTTTTTAAGCTGCATAGAACAGTCACATCAAGTGGTTAGATGATTTGAAAAATAGTCATTACGTTAAATTTATAGTTATTAATTAAAAGTATTGCAACAATCGTTATTTTTAACAATAATTTAACAAAATACCAAAAGAAACTTGCCTAAACTGATGCGTCACGTAGGCCCTCCAATATGGCATCGGTGGCCTCACTAAAACCAGCCAATCCAGATAGTAGAGATCAGTGGCACATGTACACAAGTCTAGTTAAGTTTCAACTCCCTTTATGCTCAGTTGTTTCAACATAGACTCCAAGTATGAAAGATGCGGATTATAGTACTCGCATTGTTTTATTTTTCTTTTTTTTTTATGCCCTATACACATTTTTTTCATTTTCTGTTATGGATTTTTCCAGCCTGGGCCTCTTTTTCCTGGGGCTACTTTCTGATTGGGATGTTTTCTGCTGGTTCTGCCTTCTGCTGGGGCCATTTTGTGTTGGGGCTACTGTCTGCTGGGGCCATTTTTTGCTGCTGGGTCCACTTTCACCAGTCAAACAAAGGTGATTGCATTTTGATAATACTAATCTCAATACACATTATGACAACAAAAAAATCCTTTAATATCAAATATTGATATTTTATGCTTATTCTCTTATCCTTTCAGAGACAGTGTTTAAGAGTGGCTGGTTTAAAAGACCTACGTATCGGTAAATTAGATTTTAATTCTGCAATGAGGATGTTACTTGTTACTACTTGTTCATTCTATAATACTTTTCCTTATGATTACAAAGCAATAACTGTCTTCCACTCTATGTAACAGTCCCTCCAAAAACAGCGCAGCACACCCAAACCAAAACCAATTATTCTGGCTTGGTTACACACCTTTATAATGATATAAATTAAATTTTTCTAAGCTCAAAAGTCAAATTCAAGATATTTATTTTTATGTATAAAAAATGTATTGTCTAAAATATTAAACTAAAATTTTTTTTTTTTATGTTTAATTTTAATATTGCAATATTTTTCTTGGAATTGCTATATTGCAATTTTGTATTTGATGAAAACAGTTTTAATATAAATTGATAATATTATTACTGTATTTATTATATATTTCTATATTTTCATATACTGTACCTAATGTTGCTTTATGGTTTTTGTTCAGTGGCATAATGACCCTGAGCTCTGGGGAAGTGGGGCTGGAGAAACCCTGGCCCTCAACCAAGCTCCTCTTTTTTCCAAGGTTCCTCTTACCCAGCACTGTAATGCCCCAGCAATCTAAGAGACACATCATCTGTCTATTCAAACTTTAACCAATGTCAAATCATAGTACTGTATAAACATAAAATTAGTATAGAACTGCAAGAAGTCCGACTCTCGTGGTTTTGTTAGAACATAATCCTATTTCAAAATGTACTGCCACGAAGGGGCATGTCCTTAGAAAACAAAATTTGAGCGAACTATATTCAAATTCTAATAAGGCGCCCTCTATTCGTGGCAATACTGTTTGTAATGTTCCATTGTGTGCATACAAAATCAGGGCAGTCAGAACTCTTGCGATTCTATACTCTTTGATTATACCAGGGGCGGATCCAGAAATGTCCAAAAGGAGGGGCCGGAAGCGGGGGCCGAAAGTTGGGCCGATTGAGACAACACTGTCGTAGGGGGTCTGGGGCATGCCCCCGCGAAATTTTTGTGTTCAATGTATTTATGTTAAGAATCTATTAAAAATTATTTTATTTGTTATCACAGGGCCTGGACATAGTATCAAATTGGAATCTGGAAGATTGGTTGTTACTGGAAATATTGCCTGGCCAAAGTCAGTAGGAGAAAGTAAGTAATTTTTATAATTGATGGTATATAAAGAAACAAGTACAAGCAATAATGAAAGATAAGAATCATTATTTAGTTAGTTAAGATCTGGTAGACATTTCATTGATGTTCTATGTAATGAATAACCTTTGAGCAATTAACAAATAAACTATGAATGAATTTGTAAGTATAATAAAAAAAAAAACTATTACAACTATTACAATTCTAAATACATTAAGCCTGATCATTTTTAGTTAAAGATAGAAATTACAAAATTTTCTGAGTTGTTTCAAATGTTTTTCATTGTAGAGAACCAACCATTTGTTATTGTAAGTGATAATAATGGTGACACATGGAAAATGGGAGGTAAAATTCAGTTGCCAAAATTAAATGATAAATCAGTTTCAGGAAATGAATGTCAGGTATGTGATAGCTGGAACAGATTCGTATTTCATGTGTCCTAGTCATTTTCGTCAATTGTTCTCCTCTTTCTTCTGCCGGTTACAGAAAATTCTGCTGTCTGCTCACCACCTGGTCCTATACTCCAGTGGCTACACATCATAATATTTTCTGGTAGTCAAATATCTTGAACTCACTTGCTACCTTCCATCTTATCTCTGCTCTTGCTGTTCTGTCATCAATATTTAGCGAAAAGCTTTAATCAATTTAAATCAAACCTCCCAAAGGAAGCAATTCAACTATAATATTATTATTACTGTTAACTTTAGGCTGTTGAGGTGGCACCCAACGATGTGGTTATAAATTGTAGAACACCAGGCACTTACCCACGAATACAGTGCTACAGTTCTGATGGTTGTGACACCTTTGGTCCATCCGAGGTTATGCAAACCTTGACTGAACCAAAAAATGGTTGCCAGGTAATTTATTTATTTTTGTGTAAATTTAGTTTTGTTTATTTTAAATCAATATATTTTACGTGGTTGATTATAAAAAAAGATTTTCTGTGTTACTTCACTGACCAATCAGTCCAAAATTATCATGGCACCATACTTTGGATTTGATAGTTAAATAAAAGAAACTAGAGCACTACTCCATACTTTAGGTGAGACCTGTGTTTGAATACTGAATACTGAATAATGCATGCAGGGTGTGTATGGGTGAGGCAGGCAATTCCATTATTTTTTTATGCTGATAGGGGCAAGATTCAAACAAAAAATTTTCGAATTCCTTGACCTTTACAATTCCCTTTGACTCTTTCAACCCAAAATTTAATCACCTATTCATACCTACCACTCCAATAAATTTATGATATCCATTCATTATTTTTTTTCTGTGTAATTCTGCTAACATACAGAAGGGATACCATTATTCTTATCATCATCATTGTCTTTGATTTGCAGGGAAGTATACTTGGTATCAGTGCACCATTGATGAGTGATGACCAAAAGTCTTGGGCACTTTTTAGTAACCCAAACAGTAAGAGATTAAGGTTGAATCTCTCGGTACGTTTAAGTAAAGACAGTTGTAAGACTTGGTCCGATCCACCAATAAAGGTCCTAGAATGTCTCGGTTCAGGTTATTCTGATTTAACCGGCTTTACTCAAGACAACCAGCAGAAATTTGCTTGCCTTTTTGAACGCATTAAGATTACCTCTAGGAATATTGATCTTATCATATTTACTATTGATATTTAAATGGAAAGGTAATCTTTATCAAAAGTAAGTGAGGTTTCATGAGAAAATTTTAGTTTTATGCCAGGCAACTTGATATATTCAAGAAGATAGATATGGATTCATATTTTGACAAAAATAGGTTTTTTTAAATATTTATGAAAAGTTTATTCTTAGTTGATTTCAATATTATATTAATACTAATTACCAACATTTAATTGTTAGCATTGCATGTCAATGGAAGATGAATTTCCTTGTTTTATTTTACAAGGACAATAAAATTATTTATCTTATCTTATTATCTTAATAGTGTTTTTGAGGCTGTTATTAAAAATTAATTGCAAAAGGTTTTTGATATTTTTTGACAAAATTGTTTAATTGACAAGTACTAAAATATGGATTATAATGCAATGTTCCTCTGTATTTTTATACATTGTTTTAAATCCTCTTTATTTAATGTAAAGTGCATAGAGGCAGTCCATGCAAAATGTGCTATATGAATGGCAATATATTATGATTATTATATCAATGCAATTATTTGTTTATGAAATTGAAGTACTTTAAATTTACTTTAAATTTGCACTCAAACAATCCAATGCAAGAATTTTTTATTTTGCAATTACATTTAAGTGGATTACCTCATATTAATGAAGATAAGATGTAGATATAACGTAGTACTTTACTGTCATAACATAAAACCTCGAATTGAAGCCATGGGCTGCTGCTTTTTTTTTGTGAACTTCGGATGGGTTCCTTTAACAGATGGGCTTCTTTTTGAGATGGGTTTCTTCTCGAGATTAGCCTATTAGGCGTCAATTCAAGGTTATATGGTATTCCCAACACGTGGATATGACACTGATGTAATTATAGTAAAATTTGAAAAAAAAAAAACAAATAACATATGAACTTAATTTATTTAATGTCTATTTAACTTTAAAATGATGTTCAATTTCTTGTATTGCTTTGCTTACAGTCCCACGGTTACAGAAGCCTAATGCAGGCAACGTATAAATAGTTTTTGGTACTTAACAAGATAATGAAGTCCTACCTATGGGATATTGAACGTATGAGATACTTTAACTATACTTTGTAGTTACAACTTAATATCATAATTTTCTACCAGGGCAATGGGTGGGAAAATACAATTTGTCGGTGAGAACAAAAAATTATATGAATTTTCTACATATTAGTGGACTCTAAAATCGATTAAATAAATCTTGGAAACTCCAAAATTGTTGTTTCCGAGTGGACGCCTGACCACACTCACTTTGCTCTCATTGGGGACCTTGGACCCCCGCCCGGACAGTTAGGCTTACATACTCTCCTTCTGGTGCTACCATTGCAGAGTGCTCTTAAAATTGAAACATGATTAATCATAAGTTATAAGCTCTTTAGATTTATCAATAAGAAAAACAATATTTATTCAATTTATAAGGAAATTTAAATCTAGTAAAAAAAATCATGTTCTTCAAACTATGGCATGGTCCATATTGGTACATTATCAGACTTTCGTGTGTAAATCTTTTTAAACAATGCTTCAGGTCTTGGTTTTCACCTTCATCAAACGTTATTTATATTGTACAATGTATACTTGTTTCAGATAATCAAACATATACTGTACGTCTTTCTTTCTGTTTTCATGTTGAATTGCCTTGATAGTAGATTCTCCATCAAACATTGTCGAGTCAAAAACACCTATGCATTTGAAGCCAAAATAATTATAATCATGGTGAAATAAAATGATTTTTCCTTGTTAAATGTTGAAGGTATTTGTATTAATGTATGCCTAAAACTTAGTGAGTCATTTAGATTATATATATATATATATATGAAGAAGGCGTGTCCACGTGTGTTTTGAAACATATGTAGAATATATTATAACGTAACAGTAAAGAAACTCAAATACGCAAGATGTTGACTTTAGAAACACTAAAATTTATTAGGCGAATATTTCGGCTACTCCTGTAGTCTTTGTCAACGCTTGACATAAAATGAACATATTGAGAAACTATCTTAGCAATATACAATTTGAGAAACAATACGGTAATTAAGTCAAAACAAGTCGGCATACGTCTATAAAGGATTAATGATAATGAACAAATAAACAGTGATAAGGGTGAACAATGAATGAGCAAGTGGTGGACTGTGGGAAAACATTACTATAGTTAATGCATGGGGGAATATTATATATATATATACATACTGGTATACATAAATAAATGCAGAAGCAATAAACAGCTATGATACTTTGACTTCTAGGACACACAGAAATATTTTTTATTTGCAAAATTTTCGGCAACTCCTGTTACCTTCGTCAGCGTTTGACATTCAATGAAGAGAACTGGAGATTTTTACCTTCCTCCCATATTGGCATTTTATTCCGTATTACAGAATCTACAGACAATATATCAATCGGTACCAAACATCAGTGTGAAGCTTGGTAGTTAGGTACACTTAGTCATAACAACTTACAGCGGTGTATGTTAATTCTATTATGCTGTTACAAGTTAGTCAGGATCCCACGTAGGATCAGGAGTCAATCAAAAGATACAATACGAATGTGTATAGTTATGATACTGAGATTATAATTTCTAAAATGAATGAGCATCTAACCAGGGATGGCACGAGGTGGGGGTGGGAGAAAAACCACTATTCGTCGGGACAAAAAGATATATGTATTTTGCACATATTAGTAGACTCTAAAATTGAATAAATAAGCCGAAACCTCTAAATTTTTCTCGTCGGGGAAATATTCCATCTCGTTGTGGGCATCGGATCCCCAGGTCGGGGACCATGGATCTCTGTCGGAGAAATCCTGGCGCCACCAGTGCATCTAACGTATGGTTGCACACTGTCAAGAATGCTACAGTTTCACATACAAGTATACAATGTTACTATAACTTCATATGATAATACACAATGCTACCATTTCACATTTCAACAGTCATCATTAAGTGTATGAGCATCTAACATATGGATGCACAACGTCATTTGCTACCATTTCACATACAAGTTTACAATACACGATGATACAATTCACATCAACATTATAATGTAATAATTATTAAGTGCATCTAACGTATGGATACACAGCATAAAATAAAACATTAAGGATATGTTATTGAGTCCTTGACTGGCTTCTTACTCAGCTTACATATGCGTCGCTATCGCATCACACGTCCCTCAATGTACATTTGGAGCACGCCCAATCAGCTTTCTTTGCAATCCACAGCCCACGTGCTTGAATGGGTTAAAGCAATTCCCGCTGTCGTACTATAAAATTGCTCTCTAAGGCCAGGAAACCTCTGTGCTCAACATGTTGCTAATCAATGAGGTCTTTCCAGTTTGATCACACCGTTCAATGAGCAGTACAAGCCGCAATGAGACAATTTTCCAGAATACCAATGTTTCATCCTTCCCCGCTGTAGCCAATACTAAAGAGACCTGTTACCAAGGACGTCGACCCGTGGTTGAAAGTGGGGGGGGGTGAAAAAAAAGCCTTGGGCTGTAGGTCCAAGCCTTGGTTGGGGACCAGGTGGCGAAGCCCTCGGAAGCTCTAGCGCACATATCCTTTTAATTGATTTTAAGCAATGCAATTAACCTTTATTTTCAAAATATTCAGTGGCGGATCCAGTAATTTAAAATAGAGCTGGGCCCAGAGAGGGACTTTTACAAATGGAGAGTGTAGACCACCTCAGCCCCACCATGGTTGGGGCTTAGGTAAGAAAATTTATGATTATGGCACCTCTAGTTGGTCGGAAATGGAACTCTCAGACTGAATTTGAATATAATTTTAATTTTTTTTCCACTTTTAAATTTTGAAAAAAAAAAAAAATATATAGGGATGGTGGGATGGCTGGGCCCCTTGAATCTGCCACTGAAATACTCATAAAAAAGTTTAAAATTATCCTCTTAGTAATAATTGTGCGTATTATGTGCTTTGTAAGTGTATTGTCATTACAATTACAATCGAAATGAAAACAAATTCACAGTTACATTGATATTATAATTAATGTCATTTATATAGCACATTTTTTATGGACTGCCTTTATGTGCTTTACATCAATTATTGAAAGAGAATTTAAACAAAGTATAAAAATAAATGGAAACTTTACAATATATAATCAATATTAAAGTACTTTTTTAAATGTTAAAATATAGATATCAAAACATATCAAATATGAAAAACCTTTTCCTATCAAATTTTTAAAAAAAACACCATTAATGTATGTAAATCAACTCAGAAGAAACTTACCAGTAATACAGAAACCCAATTTTTGTTAAAATACAACTTGAACATTTGACCTGGTGACTACTTACCTACAACACAACATTTGTCATGACACTTCACTTACTTTAAATTTTCAAAATCAATAGTAAATATGACAAAATTAATATCATGCTTATTATTGGCATGTATGCGTTCAAAAAGGCAAGCAAATTTCTGCTGGCCATCTTGAGTGAAGCCAGTCAAATCTGAATAAGCTGAACCTTTGTGTTCTAGGACCACTGGTTGATAGGGCCAGGTTTTACAACCGTCTCTACTTAAAAGTACCGAGAGTTTCTCTCGTTTATCGCTGTGTGGGTTACTTAAAAGTGCCCAATACTTCTTGTCATTTGTTTCTTTCTCCACCAATGGTGCACTGAAACCAAGTATACTTCCCTGCAAATTAAAGACAATGATAATAATAAATAAGAATAATGGTAATACTGTAATATATATAACAATGCTGATTTTTTTTTATTTTTTTTTTTATAGTTATTAAATTTTGGGTTGAAAGGTCAAGAAATTTGAAAAAAATTTATTTGAAATTTGACTCTTCAGCAAAAAAAATAATGGAAATGCCCACCTAACCAAGAAACGCCTAGCCTAGCTTCCAGGCCCTAAATTTGTGTTACTTTTTATTGCAATACCAAATTTAATTGACATCCAACTCAATTTTTTTTTTCAGATTATTTTGTGGTAGTCTCCTCTTCCACGTTATTACAGCGTACAAGTTAAATGCATATGTATTACAATTTATGGCTCACCAAATACCCAACTTGGTACAAACTGTATTAAGTTGTGAGTCAGAGATAATGGTAAACCACAGCGATGCAGTGTAACGGCGCATGTGGTCTATCTGATCAGAAAGGTTTCTTATGACTATTGCAATATCTGTTTTTTACAAAAATAAAGTAAACAATATATATTACTGTTGGCATATTAAAGTCTTATTTATGCGTGTTAAGTCTAGGTGCAACGCAACAAGCACAATTTGAATAATATACTGTATTTTTATATACTTTTTATGATATGTACGGGATCTCGCCATCTAACAATCCCTTCTAAGGATGTTGACATGAAGAGATTTGGGATCTCGTCATCTAATCTTCTTTTCTAAAACATGTAGACATGATGTGATCCAGAATCCTGTCATGCAATCATCACTTCTACAGGATATAGACATGACGTGATCCAGAATCCCGTCATCCAATCATCACTTCTAAAGGATGGAGACATGATGCAATCCAGAATCTCATCATCTGATCTTCGCTTCTAAAGGATGTAGACATGATGCAATCCAGAATCTCGTCATCTAATTATCTCTTCTAGATCCCATCATCCGACCACCTCTTCTACGGGATGCAGACATGACAAAATCCATGATCTTGTCCGTTAATCATCTTTTCTACGGGATGTAGACATGATGAGATCCAGGATCTTGAAATCTGGCCATCTTTTCTATAGGACGTCGGCATGACGAGATGATTAACTAAACATCTGGGAGGCACATTTAGGCTTCCATAGCAACTTGATTTGAATATTATCTTCTATGATTTATCGGCTGCTACCTAAACTATTACGTAGCTTAAAAATTGGCCCTAAGTTATATTAAAGTCATTATAAATGATGGATTTGTAAATACATCTGATCCCATATCATTAATGTTGATCTTACAGCCAAAGCTTCCAATATCACTAATTCTAAATCCTCCTCTATCCCATCCCAATGCACAATTACAAATTTAATTCCAGACATATGAATAGCATGGACAACTTTAAAACGAGTATTATTTATAGAATTAACTGTCCCCTCTGACCTTAATGTAGAATCAGCTCACATTAGAAAACAACAGATATGCACCATTAGTTGCTGACATCGAAAAATCAGCTGGAACATTTTCTTATAGTGCATTGAAATTGGCTCAAGAAGTTACCTCTCCGAAGTGCCCTAGTTTGTTATTTGATTATCAAATCAGAAATTGGTACCATGATGCTTTTGGGCAAATTGGTCAGTAAAGTAATAAAGAAAATCTTTTTAGAATCAACCACACAAACTATATTAAAATAAATTAAAATAAACACAATTTAAAAGTTACATGAAAATAAATGAATTACCTGGCAACCATGTTTTGGTCCTTTCAACGCTCTCATAACCTTGGGTGAATCAGGTGAACCAAAAGTGTCACAACCATCAGAACTGTAGCATTGTATTCTTGGATGAGTACCTAGTGTTCTACAATTTACAACCACATAGTTGTGTGCTACCTCAACAGCCTAAATTGAATAGAGTACTAACATTATTAAATATTTTTACCATTGTTTTTAAACTGATTAAGGCTTTTCGCTAAATATTGATGATAACGACAACAAGAGCAGAGATGAGATTGAAGGTAGCAAAAGAGTTAATGACGGCCAGAAATTATTATGGCATCTAGCCTATGAAATATATACAACCAGATTCGTAGTGAACATACGCAGACAACTGAATTTTGTGTAATAACCGGTTTAAAGGGAATGACAAGAACACAATAAATATGAATCTGTTTTTCTACCAGCAATCTGCACATACCTGACATTCATTTCCTGTAACTGAATTGCCATTTAATTCCGGCAAATTAATTTCACCTCCCATTTTCCACGTGTCACCATTATCATCACTTACAATAGCAAATGGTCGGTTGTCTACAATGAAAAGCAATCGAAACTATTTATTGTTAGCTATCTTGATGAGGTTTTCTTTACATGTTTTATAGCAGTGCAATTTAGGTCAGCTTCATTGAGAAGCTCCATCTCAGGAAGAAGAAATTTTGGAATTAGCTTTCCCCCTGGTCCAAGTTGGGGAGCATTTCTTTGAGGAGCCAATCTTTAGGATATAAAAGTTTAGCAATGTCCATGGCTTTAGTATGTTTGTACAAGTCAAGCATATAAGGCAAGCCTAGCAATTTAGGATGGTGTAAAATTGCAATGGTTGTGCTGCGAGGATGTTGGAAGCCATTGTTTAACTGAACTATTACTCAATGCTTGAACCTTTTCTGGATTTAATTTTGCTATGTTATTTACTGTAACAAAATATCTAATGCTCGGGATTATATTCATCTCTAATTTGTTTTTTATTTCCTTAAATTGTTAACTAACAAGAGTTTAACGTATGCATTAGCAGCTGACTTACAATACATTGGCGATTAAATTTAATTCGTCTAAGGAATTTAGTGGGATTGTCTTTAACAGACTGAATTGCCTCATTGTCTAATGAGCAACTATTATTTTTAATTAAAAAGAAATAGTTCTTATCTGGTCTAGGGGTGAGGCCCATTTCTTTATTTTTTAAAAGCCAACAATTAGCCTGAAAATTATTCTCATAAATGACTCCACACCCCAAACAAGAAGAAAAAAATCTGCTGACTATTTACCCAACATCTGTACACATTGTTTTGCCAGCTAAAAAGCACTCTAACATGTTAAGGGTGGTGTGGGGTGGTGTGGGGGCTGTCTCGGGGAAGAGAGGTCTAGACATCTACAACCATCCAGCCCTATGGTCAGCCCAGGAGTATCATTTAAATAATTATTCTGTGAAGCCAAGTCAGCCAAATGCTGCAAATATTGCCATATCTAACAGAATATTAAGTTAAAAGCATAATATTGAATACTGCTATGTCTGTAACTATAATTTTAGAAAGACCTCTGCAAATGAAAGTCAAATTACCTTTTGAATAGAGAAGAACGTGAGCCAATAATAATTTTGTTTATTATGTTAAACATGTAAACTGGTAAAGAATATGGTAAAAACGGATTATAATACATGCTAAAATTTAACACCGTGAATGGATTTCAAAGATTACTTCTTTACTTTTACTTTCATTGACTATTACCGTAATTTTAATTTTACATTTATTGACTATCAATCATCTTGTATTCTTTAGTCTTACTTTAGTATCAATCATGTGAATGCTTACCTTCTCCTTTCCAAGCAATATTTCCAGTAACAACCAATCTTCCAGACTCTAATTTGATGCCATGTCCAGGTCCTGTTGTAATAGATGAACTAATTCTAAATAGATCCTTAACATACAATATACATTGCTGCAATTATATGTAGCACTATTTCATGAAGGTCAAAGGGCATAACCACACTGACAAATCAGGAATGGTGCCAGTGCGGGGCCAGCCCACCCCCACCCTACCATAGGAGAGGGATGCTCCCACCCGTCAGGGTGAAAAACCTCAATTCGTCAGGGAGATTATATGTGATTTCTACATATTGGTAGACTCTATCTCTATAAAATCAATTAAATAAGCCTTTGAAACCCCTAAATTGTCAGTCATATTTTTGGGAGCTTCGACCCTGAACCACTTTGGGAACATTTTGAGCTACAGTAACCTGACCATGCCCTCGTCGGGGACATTGGCCCACCATCAGAGAATGGTGGGGCCATCTTGAATCTGCCACTGAATTGAAATGAACACAGTAATCAATAAACCCTTTAAACCCTAACTATTATTGAGGGGCCAATTTTTTCAAAAAGTTGGAAATAATTTTCAGCTATTGCCCAAGTCGAATCCAAAATGCCATTGAAAAATTGTTTGACTTAGATAAATTTCGACTTTCAGGTCGTTAATTAATGGAAGACACAACAATTTGGCATAAAATAAGGTCAATTTAGAAATTATTTGAGTTAGGCAAAGTTGAATTTTGCAAGTTTAACTGTATATTATTCTCCCTTGAGATAACTTACCAACAGCACATGTTGAAGGAACACTGTTGAACCCTGAAAATATGTCACCCACTGGAAGCTGTTGATAGTTTTTCCAAGTCTTTCCTCCATCAGTGCTGTGTTTTATTAGCAACTGCCAAAGAGGCAGCTTGCCGGGTGGCGTCGGTGTGGCTTTAATAACTTTCTCAGGAGTGTCTTTCGGAAAGGTATTAAACATCAAGATGATGTGGCCTTCCCCGACGACAATAGGAACAGGATTCATAGGCCTTGAGTACATAAACAAAGGATCCATATATTAAAAAGTTTACTTATATCAAAGAATAACATTTATAAACATCAGATTTAATTTGTTCTATTTTACATTTCATTAAATAGCAACCATCTATAAAAAAAAATGTAGCATATTGTTTAAATTTACCTTTCTTCTGTCTTTCTAAAATAATAGTACATACTTAAAAATTGCTTTTCAATTAAGTATTTGTATTTATATTTGTATTCATTTATTCAAGTACATATAAAAATTACAAAGCCAAAAAGTAAAAGAAAAAAGCATGACAACGGCCAAAAATGGCATAAAACATTGCTAATATTTGCCCAGTGGTCAGTTATTATTATTATACCATAACTATTTTGTAAAAAAATACTGAGATTGACAGATGAAGGACTGATTTGTATGGCCTAAATGAGGCCCACTCCTTGGCAAGATAACAACCTATTTGGTAATTGATTCTTTCATTCTACCTACGCTTCTGTCTAACTTTATGATTTGTCATAAATCACTAATACCCTTTGATCATTTTTTGTTAAATAATCACTTTACATAGCAGTGGTGTATCCAGGGTTTTTAAAAAAGGGAGGTGCTAAATATGCTTATTATCTCCTGATTAAGTATTGATAGGTATTTCCCTTTTAAAACAGTTAGATCCCATGAGGCCAATAAACCTTGGATGAATAATAAATAAATAAATAATAAAAGGGCACTTGGAAAAAAAAATAAAGAAATAAAATTATTTTATAAATTTCAAAGGTTAAAAAATCTTATAAGTCAGTGGCTTCTGTGTTTGTGATCTAGGAAATAGCATTAGGAAGTAATAAATTTTGCTAACAATAACATTGTTACACCAGAGCCTTAGCCAGCATCAATGTTTCTATGCAGGAAAATAGTGATGTTACATGACTTAAATTGAAAGTGCACTTGTAGTAGTTTGAAAACACATTTATTTTATTGAACAAATATTTACTTGCCTTTTGTCCTTTCCAATGAGAACATTTTCTAAAATTATTTTGACTGTATATCCAGTATGGCAAGCACAAAATAATCGACACAGATTCTTAGGCTATGACATATTTAATTCATACAAAAAACATGGTTTTTAATTTTTTTTATATTATCTACTATTATAGTGCAAGGCCTGCTTGTACAAACAAGATTTTGATCCAGCCTGTGCAACATTGCTAAAATTAATTAATTTTCCGGCTGATTATCAGTAGTTATAGAAAAAGTTTTTGTTAATAGAAAAACAACCACCTACTATAGAAAAACGAGAGTGTGGCTTTTTCTGAGTGTAGTTCACCGTATCTAGTGGCATAGAATATTGATTTTTTTCATCTCTCATCCTTCCCCATGCTACTGCATTCCCTTTTTTTTTTTAACTAGGCCTCTCATAGTAAGGCTGAGGTGGCATTTACCCCCATTGATCTAAAAAAATTGGAACTGGCCACCAGCGTTAAAAAGGTTGAATACCTGGGACCTATATGATAATTCTTTAGTTAGAAATAAGCAAATAAGAATGAAAAGAGGTAAAGAAAATAAAAGATTTTTTTTTTGGACAAAAATGTCACTTTTGTAAAAATTTTGTTTTTAACCTTGTGCACTTTGATTAGTTTATTTCGTACATCTCTGGATCAGGCCCTGATTCTTGCATATTTTGACATTAAGGCACTCTACTTAAATGGAAATGTGCAAATGTGGTTCCACTGCCAAACAGCATCCTCCCACTATCGATTTACGACCCACTTCATTGATCTTGAATATTGGAAACACAGAAGTAGGGCATACACACTGCAATTGTCACTTGGCTCTAGCATGTATGTTATAAGTGGCATTATAAAGGCTTACAAGAATCATGTTGATCTGGCAGTGTCTTAATAATAAGATAAGGGAAAATTAACACAATGCTGATATTGACTGTGACACAGTGAGTGTACTACTGGGTAAACGACTGCCCTGCGTCAACTAAAGCAATTGATATGATTTGGGGAAACTGGGAGGGGGGGGGGGAAACAAGAAAATTATCTTGGGGAAATTCCCCCTCTCCTAAGTAGCGCTGCTACTGATTGCCAAAAAAAATGTCAAAATTAATGCTTCGATATAATAAGGCCCAAGCTGGATGGGAGGAAATTTGGTAACCAAAAGGGTACCTCTACCACCCATTGTCTTGTTGAGGTTTATTACCAACTATAAACATACCATGAATAATAATTAAAAATATTACGTCCATTGAACTCAACACAAAATGCAAAACTAGGGATGGACCTCATTAATGGCAATGACTACCCGGAATTCTTAAAATGAACTTTAGTCAAACTTCGAACTAGAACTTCATTTAGTCTTAGTTGCAACTTCAACTTCAATTTGTATTCATAAACAACATAGTCGAAGTTCTAACTACGACTAAATCAAGTCCTAGTTGTAGTTCAGCTGAAAAAAAATTGGCCTGCGGAGGTATCATTTTAGTCAAGGTTTCCTTAATTTAGTCGTAGTGTTAGTCGAAGTTCGTTTTAAGAATATAAAATGACATAATTTTGAAGTTTTAGCTTGAACTACGACTAAAGTTCGTTTTAAGAATACCAGGATAAAAGTAACTTACTTTGCCAATTATTTCCATTAAATTAGTAGTATTTTTTGCTTTAGCAGAATGAGGGTGCTGAGGTACCGTGAGCACCCCTGGTTATGCCACTGCATGATATGCTAAATTTATGTCTGTAAACCAAATCCAAACCTCATTAATTTATCGGTGTCATTTTCAGGGTACAATGTAACCTCAGGTTCCCACTTAACACCATCATCACCTAAATGTCCCCTTCGCAACACCAAGTCCATCTTTCCAATGTCCCAATGTCCATCAAATCGTTTCTCACAAAAGGCCAAGAAATAATTTTCGTGAAAGACCAGCGCTGGAATTCTACAAAGAAATAACAAATTAGCATATTCACACACGTAGCAAAAACAATAGGTACTGTCTTCTTATTACCATCTTGCTTGTGCAAAGTTTGAAACCAGTCAGACTTACCAAGCTTTAGTTATCAAGGTAACTAGCCTAAATTAGCTGATTAGTGAAATCTTAATTATGCAAATGAGCAATTAGCATATTCACACACATACCAAAAACCATTAGGGTGGGTTTGGGCGAGAACGGGAAAAATTTACACAGGGTTCTTACTGGTATTGTAGGTGGTCTACCCATTCGTGCAGAACTCGGCTTTCAAAAAACCATTAACCTCGGACGTAAAACCCAAGGTCTACAGTATATGCAAATGGTGGAGGTATAGACTAGGAAAAAATTAAAAAAAGAGGCCTCAAAATCAATTTAGTGGGAGTAGAATGTTAGAAGTAGTCAACATAGCCAGATATCCTAAATAATCCGTCCTGGTCACCCTAAGCCCTGTTGACACTTGATTTTTCACCTTGGCCATTTTTCAAAATTTATCTAAAATGTGCATATAATTGAAACTAAATAAGCTACAGATATGATGTTGGTGTCTAAAGTCATAATGTCTATACAGGCAACAAACCAGACATAAAAAAACTACTGTCACTCATGCCAGAATGGAACATAATTCAAAAATAGATGTTAATTTGTTTTAAAATAACCGCAATATATACTTAAAATGTGCATAAAATAAGAATAAGTATATAAACTCACCAAAAGTAGTCGTGTTTTCCGAAAAAACCAAATAGGCCTAGACCAAAATCCCACAAACACAATATTTAGCAGATTTATTAGAAGAGGTTCTTTCAACTATGCCCCAGGATGCCCCACTATGGAGGTTTGACCAGTTATGTAATGCCTGTGTGCTTTCTGGGGAAACACTTACTTCCTCCATGTCCAAATTAGTCCTGGAAAGATGGGCCCCTACTTACTACTACCGAGCAATCTAACAATACAACGCTTTTGACAAAATATTTTCTTTTAATTTTTTCAAAAATGTATGAGCCCTGGACGGCTGCATAACTACCCACCTTAAAATCGGCCTCCGACTTTAAACATGTCAATAAATAAAGAATAAAATACATGGTTATCCATCATAGTAGGCCTATTATTAAATATTATACACTGCATGTTGAAATCGATTAAAATAATGTATACAGTACATTGTAGACCTACTAACAATTGGGATATTCGGATGATAACCGCCTGCAACATCATCAATTGGACCTTAAAGGACGATGGTCATTTTATTCAGATTGACCTATCATGTTTCAGAACAACATATTTTTTTTGCATCAAAGTGACACTTTATTAAAAACAATCAATGAATTTTGTTACTCAAATGTCTTTATATTGATATTTTCAAGCCTATTAGATGACCTGAACAAAAAGTGATCCAGAAATTATAGGCTTACTGTACAATATATTATGGCGGAAGTAAATTTTTGTCCACCTCTGAATTTTAATAGTGTTACTGTAATCACAGAGGAAGAAAATATGTAATATAGCCTATTATTAAATATGGGAATGGTACCTATTTTTTGTTTTAACATGCTCTAACTCATTTTCTTGGTCTGTTACTTTTTAATGTTCAGTACAATTAATTGTTTAACACTATGCTTTCTTAGATAAGATAGTATAATACATACTCCAATACAATGGCGTGCAATAGTTTAATATTGCTGTACTATATACTCCAACATCACTGGCGCATGGTAACAACCAACTGACTGCAGACCATTTCCGGTCACACATTACTCTCCATAACCCTCTAGTTCCGTCACCTCTGGGTCTGTTACTTTTTAATGTTCAGTACAATTAATTGTTTAACACTATGCTTTCTTAGATAAGATAGTATAATACATACTCCAATACAATGGCGTGCATTTTGATACTTCGAGTATGTATTATACTATCTTATCTGATATTAATCAGTGGACCTTTCGGTTTATGCTTTCTTATGTTTGTATTTCTATTTTCTATCTATTTCTGCATCGCTCCCCTATTCGAAAGTGCGAGTTATTTCCATTCCTCAGAATTCAAAGCCTCATGCAATCAACTACCAAGTTTCAGTTTCTGTATAGGTTATAGGCTGTTGTAAGTCTCAACTTTTTTAACTTAACTTATATTTATAACCAGGGAGCAGAGCAGCTTAGCTCAGTTGCCTAAACTGGTGGTAGCATCTGTGTGCGCTGAAACGTGGGGATCTCTAGGTCTCCGATTCAAATCAAATTAAATCGTTCTTTATTGCATCAGTCAAAATGGGTTGAATTTTACAAAAGTAAAGGGTTCAAGCAAAAAAATTTAAACAATCAACATTTAAACATTTTTCAACAAAAAGGACCCACATCACAAAAACAGCAAACGGAAACAGGTTTAAAGGGCAAAAAGGCAACCAATATTAAAATTATTATAATCATTATTATTATTATTATTATTATTATTATTATTATTATTATTAATATTATTATTATTGTAATTACAATTATTGTAGTGAGATTATTATAGTTATTTTAATTACTGACTTAAAAATGAACAAAGCATTCGCCTGTACAGGGAGTCCTTTCTAGCTTTTTTGGAGGATAAATTTTTTATGTTTTCTAAGATGGTAATTGGAAGGGGCTTTCGGAAGGAAGTGGGGTATTGAATTTCCATCGCTACTCTCCTTGTATTTCAGCTGGAGGACTGAAAAGCAAGTTACGATAGTGCACCGTCTTTTGGATGAGACATTTAACCTGTTGGTCCTATGTGTATTATGGCCTGTGTGCACGTTAAAAAACGCAGTATACTAATTGGAAATGAGTAGGAAATTGTTTCCCCATGTACAGTGGCGTAACAACTATGCGCTCTTGTGTAGCGGTCCACAGGGCCCCCGAAGTTGCCCCAACACATAGGGTCCTCGCTCGGGCACCCTTACCCAAAAGGGCTTTGTTGATACATACAGTAACAGCATAATGTGTCTCTGAGATCGACTGTCAGACATATATCATAGTATATCCCGTGAAGGTTTAATGGGGGCCCTGTCAGCCTGGGGCCCCCTTAAATTTTCCAGTTGTTTTAAAAATAGAAATTATACTCGCATTTTAAATCTATGAGTGCCATTTCCGGCCACTTCGAGGTACCGTATTCATAAATGATCTTACATTAGCCCCAACCATGCTGGGGCTGAGGTGGCATAGGTGTGTGAAAGTCCCTCCCTTCCCACATACCCTCTATTTTGGATACCTTGATCTGCAACTGATATCATATATTTTATTTCGTTGTTAAAAGCAATCTAGAATACAATGCCAAATATTAGAAAAACAAGCACATTTAAATTCCCACAATCAAAGTGGTGGCCGGATCAAAAAAGGGCCCTTAGTCTCAGCCACAGGGCCCAGGGCGCATCATTAGGCCACTGCCGGTGTAGTACCCAATCACCACCAGAAGGACCTCACTGGAAACAAGTATTCTTCCGACTTTTGTGGGTTATCCTTGGTGTTTATACCGAATATATCCACCATCCACCCATAAGGACAGATATAGAGAAAGAATTTTGTTTAGAAATGGTGGAGACCACAGACATTAAAAAAAATAGCTCGTTTTGGTGTAGGCCTACAGTGACGTCATGCTCCCTTCTTTCTGGTCTTTTTTCTTTATGTTTTGGGGGTTTAGATAGACCTGTGTCTCCTGGACCCACCCTGAAACGATTGATTGTTTGATAATACTTATTTATATTGGCAAAGCTAAGAAAATGCATGTGCATAAATAATCCATAAGGAGGCATTAGAAAGAAAGGGGAAAGGAAAGAAAAGGTAATTAAAAGGAAAAGGAAGACGAAAGAAAGAAAAGGTAGGTAAATAGCAATCACGGAAAGTTAAGGAAGCATAGAATGAAAGTAAAAGAGAAGATAAGTAAGTAATTAGACGGTTAGCTAATACTAAAATAGAAAACAAAAACAAGGAACATGAAAGTGAAATATAAGGTCAGCTAACATACTTTTTCTCTCTAGGGTCCTCCTTTTGTTTTGCACTGTTGAAGCTTGTCAACTACTGTGGTAGTCAATGACAGCCACTTGTTCTGTTGATTCAGAACGGTTAAGAACTTTATTTATTATTATATGCATAGACCTAATATGTTGGACGCAAATATTCAAATTAAAAATGTGTGTGCAAAATATTATTCACACAAAATTTTTTGGCATTGTCTAATAATTATAGTATTTTCATTCTTAACACTTATCTCTAGGAGGATTACCCACCCCGGTGTCACATGAACAAAAATATTTTACTGATGCATGGTGCTCCTAACATTGTTTCTGCCCGGGACCCACGACTCGTCGTTGCACCACTGGGAGGACTATGCCTATTAATGTTTAACAAATCAATCAGCCAATCAAATATATTATACAGCACATAACATAACGGTACCATTGTTCATAGTTACAAGTATTACTGTATGTAGAATCATCAATAAATAGGAAAACACAACATACTGTATTTGCCTTGGCCACCATGAAGTAATAGTGGGGCCCCTGGCCTATCCGGGGTTCAATTGGACTCGGAGGAACTAAGCATTTACCCAGAAAGCACAGGTGTACATATCTGGTCAAACCTCCATAGTATAATGATGGGTCGTAGTTGGACTGAACCTATCTAATATATCAGCCAAAGAGTGTGTTTGTGGGATTTTGTTCTATTTGATTTTTTTGAAAATTATAGAAAAAGTTACAAGGCGTTTTATTAAAGTGATGGATAGTACAATAGTAAGAAGGGCTCGGACCCCGTGGCCTCTCAAGGACCCATTTGAGCGGGGACTTGGCCCATAAAGCACATGCGTTATGCACGATTAAGACTCTATAGTAAAATGCTAGTTAGTATTAAGAGAACCCACCCTCGTCCCCCTCCACTCCGAGAGTGCATAAACATTAGGCAACTGAGTCCTGTTAATTTTTATACAGTATGCCATAATTAGATTTACAGGACAATATATGAAAAACTACACAATTTCTGATATGTATATACTGGAAAACATAACTCATCATTGGCAGAGCTTTCAAATGATAACAAACACACCAACTTTTGGTAAGTTTGATTTTTTTACCTTTGTGTCATGTGACTTTATATATTGGTCTATATCGCTTTAAATATGTCTTATGTTGTTTGGTGTAATGACAATAAATGATCAGTGTATAATTCCCTTTTCATTGACACCAATCATGACCATGTTTTATGCGGTGCGTCAGCCATCTTGGAATTCAAAATGGGGCCGATGACGTTGGGAAAAAATGGCACCAAACTTTTTTTAATTCAGCGCAGTAAAAATTATAAAATTAGTCAATAAAATATATTTTTGCACAAAACTCTATCTGGATTACATAGAAAACTATACTAGTAGCTTATATACTCGTTCTTATTTTATGTACATTTTAAGTATATTTTGCGATTATTTTAAAACAAATAAACACCTATTTTTTAATTATGTTCCATTCTGGCATGAGTGACAGTAGTTGCTGTCTCTTATACACATCTAGATGTGTATAAGAGACAGATATATACCTCTTAAGAATAAAATGTTTTCATCAATTACAAAATTGCAATATAACTCCAAGAAAAATAATGCAATAAGAAAATTAAACTTAAAAATAAATTTTTAAACAATTAATCTTCTATACTGAAAATAATTTTCTTTAATTTGAGCTTAGAAAAATTAAATCAATATAATTATTTTCCACGAAAATACAAAGGTGTGTAGCCAAGCATAACCACGTCAACATAATTTGTCCCAAAAGTTGGTTTTGGTTTGGGTGCACTGTTCTTGGAGGTTCACTGTTAAATATAGTGCAAGATAATTAGCGCTGTGTAATCACAAGGAAAAGAGTTATAGAATGAACTAGTAAACAAATAATTCTTAAGACAGAAATTAATAAAATTTAATTTACCGATATGTAGGTTTGGTATCTTGGCTGCTCTCAAACACTGTCTCTGGAAAGATACAAGAATAAGCATAAGTTATCAAATATTCAATATTAAAAGGTTTTATTTCTGTAGCAGTAGTCAAGTACAAGACTAAACAAAGAAAGCTAACATCCGATTGGATGGAAATTGTCATTTTTATTCAACAATGACGAAAAATAATGTAATATCAAAAAGCCGCCCACTGACGTTGTTATATCAGCTACAGTAATCATTTTATAGAATGGGAACATAGGCTGCCCATAAATAATAACTAGAAATGCTCCTTTTACGTTGCACAGTAAAAGTATAGCCTCCCCATGGTGTGATTGTGGTAACTAGTGTACATTTCCTGATTAGTGGAATATTAATTATGCAAATGAGCAATTAGCACATTCACATGTACCAAAAACAATATTTATTTATTAATTTATAAAAACAATAGGCTCTGTCTTCTTGCCTTGTTTGAAACCAATCAGACTAGGAATCCTGTTTCAGTCTGTTTCTGATATTTTATACTTTTAATATGTTGTATTGTAGCCAATTGTTGTTTTTATGTAATTTATTAAAGGCAAAATACTGTAAAAGAAATGAAATGAAAGGAAAAAATCCACAGACACAACTGACCCATACTCTGATAAAGTCTAGGTGCAGAAGGCTCCAGACAAAATATAGCGATACTGTTCTGAAAGCAAAAATCATTTTTGAGCACAGTAAGAAAACTATGACTGACATAACACCACAATCAGAACCCATGGGGAAGAACAGTGCCACAGTTTTTATATCAATTAGAACATCCCAAGCATTAGCAAAGGTGACGGAGATTAAAGACGGGGAATAACGCCAGGTAGTGGTTTCAGGGCAAGGCAAATGCCTCCCCCTACCCAAAAAAAATTTTTTTTTAAATCAGCAGTTCTAACGTTTGACTATAGGTTTAGGACTATGGTCTTCTACAACCTGCTTTACTATTTGCATATGTCTAGGTCAGATTTATGGTTTGTAGTTTAATATTTCTGTAGAAAATAAGTGGGGGAGGGGGATGTGCGCTGAGTATGTGGTTTCCCCACATTGAATTTAAAACAGACAGTGGCGTAACGATGCGGTCTGGGGCCTGTGGCTCTGAGACTAAGGCCCTTTCAGTATCCCTCCCTCTTCCTGTCAGACAGGTCTGTACCCCCTGTTGTCTGACTATGTCGTCGGATCAAAAATTAACAAAAATATTATTTGTCAATCCAAATAAAGTTATTTTGATTGCCAATCCCTAAATGTTGTGGTCTAAAAGCACAATTTGTACCATGCTAATCTCTAAAGACTCTCCTGTGAACCCTACTGGACCACTGGATCAGGACCGAGGCTCTAGTCAACCCCTTGGTTCTGCTGGGCTCTTTTTGAGTCTCATTTGCTAATCATTACATTGTGGAATTTTAGATGTGCTTGTTTTTCATTCGTGTTGTTCTAAATGTTTTTAACGACAAATAAATGATATGATGTCATGAGTGGCAGAACCAAGAATTTGAAATAGAGGGGAACTAGTAGAGAGGAACTTTGAGAGATGGAGTGTCTGTAGAAAATTTGATTGTGGCACCTCTGGATGGTGGGAAATGGCACTCACAGTCACAGACTTAAAGTGAACTAACATTTTTTTTTATATGCAAAAAACAAATGACAAATTTAGTGAGGGCTCCAGGCCGGCAGAGCGCCCTTTAATCCGACACACTAGATATAATATGATACAGTATATGTCCTACAGTCAATGTCAGAGACACATTATTCTGTTATGTATCAATAAAATCCATTTTGGTCAGGGTGACAGATAGAGAGCCATATAGGCAGGGCCCCTTCGAGGGGGGGGGGCCCTGCGGACCGCTCCACGAGAGTGAATACAGTAGATGTTACGCCACTAAAAACTGACCAGTCGCTGTTGGTGACGAAACAAATTTCCTGTGGAACCTAGTTTCATCATCAATTCGGGATGATGCGAGCGCAAAGGTGAAGAAGGTAATCGAGGACTAGGTGAGTGGGGGACGCTAGCTCAAAACATGGCAATTTTTATCAAATTTAGCATGATTCGTTTTGGGGTTGGGGCTCGACTGGGTGGCGCGAGTATTTTTCTTTTGGGGGGGGAGTGCACCCCCTCCATGAGGGAGCCTCTTTGGCATTGATTATTCGGTACAGCTTTGTCTTGTGAACTCTTACCGACTGCTTGTGATTATACATTGTCGCTGTTGGTGAAGAAAAATTTCCCTGTGGAACCCAGCGGCTTCATCATCAATTCAGGGTGCAGTTTCAATTGGCTTACCCTGCCAAAATTCTCATTTTATGCCGGCTAATTTACATTTCCCAGGGCATACAATTCCAAAAATATTGTTAGTATATCCTAACAGATTTAAGCATTCATGTGGTAATCGTAAAAGATCACATCCAATCTGTGATACTGAGCAGAGCACCTTCTTACTGTACTCTCAACTAGCCTTCAATTGTTTGTCGACAATAGTCACTGCTGAGGCGGTATTGTCAAAATCGTTAATTATCAGTGCTCTGAGATCAATGTAAATGTTGGTCCGTATCTAGGAGTCTTGAAATGGGGTGGGGGCCTTTGAGAACTCGAAGGTGAAGAGTGGTATCAATGATTAAGTGAAGGGGCGCCAGCTCAAAATAAGGTGATCTTTAATTATACTTGTGCTTGATTTTTTTCTAGTGGGGCGAATGGGGAATGTGAGCAATTTTGGGGGAGTGCGCTAGGGTGCCTCTTTGCCATTATCTATTTGGTGCTGCTTTGCCTTGTGAATACTTACTGGTGGATTGTGGTTTTTGGCTACTGGAATCTCCAACGTTCGGCTTAGCGCTCTCTTGAACCTCTTGCTGGGCCTGTATTTTTTGAACCGGACTCTTGGGAGCTGCAGCCTTAGATGCTGAACGGCTTTTACGCTTTGTTTCTGAAGAAAGATATGTAAAATATATAGTAAATTTGATCATCATAATATTTGCTGAAGATGTATATGTCTAAAGTTCCTAAAAATTACATTAATATATTAATATTAAAATAAAGAACTCTGAGCCAATAATTTTGTTTATAAATTTGAGAAAAGCAGGTAAGCAACTGATAAAGAATATAGTAAGAACTGGATTTACAGTACATGCTAAAATGTTGTAATAGATAGATGTAGGTATTTTTTCTTTGTCACGTATTGACTTATTTTAGTGATATATATGGTCACTTTATAATATATTTTATTCGGTTATAGTACATAAATTCTCATATGTGTTGCTTTTGTAGCGTTAAAAACCCTAGTCCTATATTTTGTAAATTCTTGTTGGTGTAAAATTATTCTTTTACAATATTTCAATAGGTATATCAATTCATTTTTATTTCAACCTTGTATTTGAGAATCATGATCAGCTAAATATATCTAGAAAGGTACATTTCTAGATATATTGATTATTACTAATAATCAATATCACATTATGCATAAGCAAATAATGAAGACTGACCCAGTCAAAAAAAATAATAAAGGTACCTTTCAGATATATTGATTAGTACTACTAATCAATGTCACATTATGCATAAGCAAATAATGAAGACTGACCCAGTGAGAACATAACACACTGTACCTTTGGTGTTTGTGTTTCCCATCACAATTTGTTTAACGCAATCTGTAATTTATAACAAAATATACTTTAGATAGGTGATCCTAATCATATGCACCCTAGCTGGCCCTACTATGACAGTACATGTGAAGTACCAATATTAGGCTGATTGGTGTCCACTTAAAACTAGATATAAAAATGCACATGCAGCCTCAGCATTTTTAAGCTGTTTTGAAATGATTTAGGAAGTTTCTGTTGACAACACCGGGTGCATAAACATACATTTGACTTTCAATGTATGTTTAATTTGAGAACCCGAACTATGTACACAAACATTTCATTACCAATCAATTTTTAGGTAACGTGTCAGCAAAATAAGTATTCACATAAATACTTTCTAATGAGAAAGTATAATACATACTCCAAGTATTGAAATACACGCCATCATGTTCTAATGACTCAAGTTACTGCATGAGTGTTCTTATATTTTTAATGAAACCAATTTCTTGAAATTTTAAATACAATTTCCCGTGAAATTGTGATAATTCGTTTAATCACGCTTAGACTTATGCTAAATGCATGCTTCATCCAAAATCACTTTGAAATGGACCGTCCCATTTGCTGTTGGAGTTGTAACATATATGTTACAGGTTACACTTTCTTGTAACATCGTTTACCAGTTTTGACACTGGTACAAACTTTTTTTCAATCTAAGAACCATTTGAATACAGGTTTCAAGTGCATACAAGTGCATTAGGCCGACCAGCCCTCTATAAACTAACGTTAGAATACCGCACTTTCGGCGGTAAAGAACAATTAAAACCTCATAAAAAAGGCAACTAATCCGTTTACCTATAATTGAATCCAAGGACACCAGTGTTAAACACTCAGTACTTATCCTTGATAATGTGTTAATCCAATTAATATAGTGAGATAACCTAACGTTAGTTTATTGAGGGCGGGTTGAGCTAATGGGTAATACTTGGTTCATAACTGAAGAGTTTAGAACAAATATCATGGGCATAATATAAAGAGTTTTATGTGATTTTTATGCATTGACCTTTTAATACCATCACAAACATACAATTTACTAAAGAAAAATACAGAAAAGTGACAAAGAAGGTGTTGTGGACAGCAACAGTGAAAGTATATTTGCGATGCAAGTTACCTGAAATTAAAAGAATTCTATTTTATAAACGCATCGTAATGTAGGTTTCATGAATGAATGAAACAGTTTCCTATGCATGTTGGTGATAAAAATAAAAGTTGAAAAGATTATGTGTTCATATTTTTCTGAATCATTATTCAAATTGTCACCTTAAATTTTTTTAATTTATTAAATCAATTTTGATTATATTTTTTTTCGGGACACCCGACACCCGACCACTTTTTTTGGTCTCATCGGGAAGACTTCCCGCGCCCACGTGTCGCTGAACTCGGGACCCCTCCCCCACCTTTTTTTCCTTGCTAATCTCATGGTTCGACCCCTGTGGTTGAAATTTATTTTGGAAGAAAGAAGAGAAAAGAGGAAGAGGAAGAAAAAGAAATCCTGGATAAACTAAAAAATGGTAGATATGGACACCTTGAAAAGAGCACAAGATCGTGAAGCATGCCGAAAACATTATGATTCATGAATATAACATTATTAACACAAGAGCTGCTTCCTTGTCTATACCTGCCCTTGGCTTGGCAGAATCTGAATACTTATTGATGTTGATGATGGGCCTAGCCATTAATAAAACAAAATTACACCCAATAAGAAATTGTTGATATTACTGTACCTCAATTTCAACTTGAAATTCCAAGGAAAAATTAGTAAAACAGTGAAATTTAGATACTTTTAAATAACTCCAACAACATATGAAACCTGGTACTGTTTATAAACTGTATGACATCATCAAAGATCTTATAAGATCTTTGGACATCATTGACTCTATACAGTGGTGGCAGCAGAACAGGTGGTGTCATTTTAGGTTGGAGCCCGTTTTATAGACACCTTTCCCCTAGTAAGCTTACCTAAATAAACAAAATTTTGAAAAATTAAACATTATAATACATACTTTACATAAACAAATATAGGTATAAAAACGAGAGTAGATAAAAAGTGTGTAGGTATTCATTTATCTTGATGGTGTAATATTTGATAGGCACACTGTTACACAAGATGTTAGATAGGACTTCTTCATTATGAGGCCAATTGTACTTTCATTTTAACAAAATTATATACATAGGCCTATAATTCATTATTTTATAATAATTCAACATTTTTTCATTATATATATATATATATATATATATATATAATATCTGTCTCATATACACATATAGATGTGTATAATATATATATATACAGGTATATATATATATATATAATAAATAATAATAATAATATTCATTGATTATTTAATATTTGTCATGGAATATGAATATTATTACGAATTCTTAATATTAGTATAAATGTTATAAATACATAGGCCTATTGAAGCATTAGATATTTAAATTTATATCCTTATGATACGAAACAACAAAGCATGTAGTATTAGTATGTTCTCTCGAGTATGCGCCGTTAACGTTTATTCAAATTCGAAACGTCTAATAAACAGAGTGGCTTGGTCGAGACTAAACTACGTCCTCCCTGGTTGAGAGCAGCGTCAGACAGCAAGACAATTGAATGATTGGTGTGGTATTTAAATAAAGGGTGCTTTTTGTAATTTTTACCGAATACTAAGCAAGCAATTAAAATATTGAATTAATGGTTTTTAATTTATAACGCCGCAAAATACAAAACGTTTCTATGCGCTGTAAAAACAGATTTGAAAAAGTAAAAGAATAAAAAATAAAGATGAAAGTGCCAAGCCAAGCCAGCAACACACAAACCCCATTATTTATTGTATCATTCAATATTATTTGCACTTATATCTTTGAACTTGTTTTTGCATGTTAAATAAAATCACTTTATTCATTAGGACATACAAATATACAAAATGGAATAAAAGAGAACAAATATTTACAAACATAGGTCAAGTCTGGATCACAGAAATGCAAGGCAAAAAATAACAAAATCAGATAAAATCATTAAAAGGTAAAAAAAACTAAAAAAATACGTGTAAATCTAATGTAAATGTTGGCATATTTCTATGATGTCAATGTATGAAAACTGCTGATTTAAGACAATCAAATTAATTGGCAAGACCATAATGCAATGTTTTAGTAGCAGTAAGTAGGCCTACAGTACCGGTATTACTTACCGATATTTAAATTGTGTTTCTCTGGTGTTACTGTATGTAAAATATAATATCTATGTAGGCCCTCAAATGTAAAGTATAATAATTGCAGAGGGCCCAGACATTGATCCGAAATCAACCGCGAATTGTTTGTTACATATAAGAGATGTATTTTGAATTCATATTGTTTCTATTTTATTGTTCTTGTCTTGCATATGTTTGTTGTAATTCTGCAGAAGCACACCTAGTGGTTGGGAATATTTGGGGAAATAGTACTTCTAGATTGCCGGAAATGACACTCAAAGTAAAATTCATCATCATCTTTCGTTAAAACTTGGGTGTCATTTCAGTTCAACAATCTTCTGGCAACTTCATGACTTACTGTATGAAATACCATTGTGGGCAAACTTGCATCTTCTTTGAAAAAAAAACAAAAAACAATGAGGTCCCTCTTTTTTTTTTTTTTTTAACAGGCAGGGCCGAAAAGTTGGCCGATCAAGACAACACTATCCCAGTGGGTCCGGGGGCATGCCCCGCTAAATTTTTGTGTTCTGGCCTATCATTTTTTTCTTTTTTTCGTTGTTTTACCTCCCAAAAGCAGGGGGGAAGGGCGGGGCCGGGCCGGGGCGTCCCCCCAACTATGCCGCCGGATCAAAAATTAAAAAAAAAAATAATTTGCCTACGTTTTATTTTGATTGTTAATCACTAACAATGTGGTCTACAAGCACACTCAGGAAATTTTTATTCCGGGCCGTCGACCGAGGCTCTATGTCGGACCTCATGTCCATGTGTCGCCAAATTTCTGGTGCCACAGCTGCCAGGATGTTTCCACATGAAGTACCCACCCAATCAGGGGGAAGGTGTGTGGTGTCCCCATTCCTATTGTGGGGTCCAGCAGGCCTGGAATAATTATGTTTGTTCCTCCGACCATGAAGGTTGTATTGAAAAAAACGTCTATAGCACCAAATGTTACCTGTACACAATATATTAATTTTTTTAATTTTTTATAATTTTTTCCCCCAAAATGACTCTGGGACATGCATGATGCTTCTGACCGCCGGTCACAAACTTTTTCTAGCCCTGGGGTCCTGTGTGGAAGTTTCTTTTCGTTTTAATCTCTTACCTAAACGATTTCGCGTTCTTTGAACAACTTTAAAGGGAAGATATATTTTGTTCTCACATCAATTGTCTTGGGCTCTCCGCAAGTATTATACTTTACATTTTACATAATTTTTATATTTGACATACAGAAACTCCAGTGAAACACAATGTAATTGTATTGAAAGAAACAATCTCATCGTTTATTAATAAAAATGCCATTAAAATAGAAATAATAACAGTAACACTTACTGCTACTAAAACACACTTTTTTTTTAATACAAAAATATTCATGAATAAATGGATGTCGTTCATCAGTGACATCATAAAAAGATATAGGCTTGAATTTACATTATATATTGTACATGTAACAAATTATATCTAACAACATATTGTGTCAATTGAATATTTTAATTGCTTGCATTTTATTCTGACAACGTTCCAAACAAACTCTTGAATAAGCGTCACACCAGATAAAATTTTTTATTCTGAGCGCTGCTCCCCACAAAGCGCCATTCTGTTTATTAGAGATATATTCTAATTTCAATGAAACATTACTAGAGAAAACATAATAACATGTTCTGATGTTTCGTATCACCAGGATCCTTTTAGATCCAGATTTAAATTTAAACAATTAATGCTTCAACAGGGCTATGTACAATATGGTACAAATTTAATGACAATAAGGGGTCGTTCACAATTATCAACATTCACAAGTGTACAAACAGTACTGTTTTTCGGTACCACTCCATTCCTCTGAAATTGTATATAAAAATGTTGGATTTTGCCAAACCATTCTCCATTTTTTGTAAAGTACCATAATTTGTTACTTCAAAATGTATACAATATCCATGGTTATATTATAATTGGTCATAAAAAATCTATTATTTAAATATTTTCCATGCTATTTTTTTAATATTTTGAATAATATTTTCATGCAAATTTGTTTGTACTCCTTCCCTGTACTGTATAATAGTGAATGACCCCTAACACTACTAATACAAAATAATATTATTTAATCAATATTTTACTAATTAGAGCATTAAAACAATAATTCAATTGAATTGTATCTATCACTGCTCCTTTTGGGAGCTTAATGTTATTGCATAGTACTGTATCTTATATGAAACCAATCACTTTAAATAGAAAAAAAAATTATACATCTTTTCCATGTTAAAATTAAGCTATTTATTGTTAATATTGAGTTTCATGAATTCAAAAAAATATACATATTCACATGATTCAGAAGAAAAATTTATATACCTGTATAAAAAATATTAAATAATCATAACAAATGTAATTATTTACCAATTATTTTGTAGTACTGTATACGCAACACCTTAAGTAATAAGGAGTGTCCTTAATATACAAGTTATCAAAATCCCCTCAAAATTCTAATTATCTTTTGCAATATTTTATTATATTTATGGTAAACTTGGATTTTAGAATCTATCTGTCACCTAATGGATGAGATAACATACACAATTTAAAAGCATGATCAAATATAATATGCAACATCTCGAATGAAAGCCCAAATGTACGGTAGAGGTAGAAAGAGGTGGTAGATTCTAAGTGAAGACGCATGAGTTACAACTGCACTGTAGTTCTTGGGAGACTGTATGTGTTTCTGCTGCTTCAGACTGCATTTTTTACATTGCGGATACAGTTTCTGTTGAGTTTTTGGATAGCGCAAAACACCAAACAGATATTTCTTCCCTCTGTTGTTGTGTGATAACTATAAGGAAGCAAATAAAATATTATTCCTAAATACCATAATACAAAACGAAGATATTCCTAATTATAAATTATAGCTGTAAAATATTTATATCCTCTTACACAATAAACACAATAAATTACAGTACTTAATTGCCTTGGACCAAAGAAAAGAACCATATATACTGTAATTATAATTGTAGGCTTATGGTACAACTATTTGTATAAAATATACATCATTAATGGGAAAGATTCCCTGAATAAACTGTGTTCTTTAATGGTGGAATGATCAGTGTATTTAGAGGAGTGGGGACAATTCTTCAGCTAGAATACAGTGTCTAAGAATCGGGTAAATCAGATAAGTCTGAAAATGATTTACTCAAATGTGATTGTCTCCAACTTACTGCCAATGGTGGTTGATGGTCTGCAATGAATGATTTTGAAAACCATTTTCTTCCACAGGTGTGACAACCAAGTTTTCGTCCCATTTGCATAATTTTTACCCTCTGACTTTTATGGGCATACCGATGAGAACCAACAATGCCAACATTAGCAAATGCACCTGGAGTATGAACAGGTTTATATATTAAAACAAAATTGCAAAGAAAAACAATGTGGTATCTTAAAGACAATAGTCAATCTGAAAAAAAAAATGTATGAAGGAAATGGTAAGAAATACATTTTCAAGGTATGCGCATGGATTGTGAGATTATACAAAATTATATAGTTAATATACCTGGATGTTTGACACTACTTGGTAATACCGATGAAAAGCGCCCTCTACAGGCTTTGAACACAACAACTGTCCCGATGAAATAAACCGTCAATAGCTTCAAATCCTCATGGTTGTTCAGGCTGTATGGTTTGGGTAATGCGGAATATGATGGCTCTGAAACAAAAAGTTACACTATGATAATCAGAGGTAAACCCTTCTTAAAATACCAATCTTGGGTGCACTGCTTTAGTGTTGAACCCAGTTCTCACTCACTAGTAGTAGACTGATGCATGTTTCCTTTAGCACTTATTTGATTCTTCAGTCAAGTAAAAAACGAAAAAGAACCAAGTAGATTATATTTCTATTTGATATATTTTGTCAAAAAGAGAAAAATCATGGCAACATTAAAACAACTGAACAAAGTGTAAATGTTTTAATGTAAAGTGGTTCTTCCAAAAGTTAGTGGGGCACAGCATAAATTAATTCAATTTATTTTAACAATAACAGACATTAAATATCTTGTTCTATTTTAAAGTTTCATCATGTTTATATTCTAATTTTAGTGTCGACATTAATATTTAAAATTTCTTTTCTAACTTTTAATCTTAGCAAGTAATTTAATTTTCTGTTTATATTTTATTATATGTAATAACTAAAGTCTCTTGTACTTTTAATAATAAATTTGTTATTAATAAAGTATGATGAAATCACATCACAAATAATAAATTTAAAAAATTACATTATATAAACCAAAAAAAAAAAGATTCAATTTGATATTAAATAGTATTATGGGTAAAGGACTTGTCATTCAACTCATAATATGTTTAACCAAGTTGCAATCCTTTCAATTCATTATTAGCCTTAAGGACTGTCAAGGTGCTCTACAACAATTAAAAAAAAATTAGGCCTAGGCTAGGCTATACCATGGACTGAGAAGTAAACAGGTAACAGAAGTTTACAGATGAAGGCGAAACTACGCCTGTTAATTAACCGCTCTGCAAATTTCAATTCTCTTGCAATGTCTATGGAGGGTTCTGTGGAGACGTGTTGCATTTCCTGAGATTTAGGTTAAAAATGTGAATTCAAGCTTATATTATTGAACTTACGGTACTTACGAAAGAGGATTCCTAGGCCTAGACCAGTGCTTATTCAATTTATTTTTTAAAAACATTGATAGACTGCAGAAGAATGAAGAGAAGAATGACAAAGTGAAATCCTAGGCCTACCTCGCCAAGAAAAATATGCTCTCTCACGAAGGCGATCAGAAGCCTCAGTCAAGGCGACGGAAGCTGCACATCCAGACATTCCTACGGCGGCTAGGCCTAGGGCTGATGCAAATATTGATCCATTAGTGATAGCTAATATTCTAAATACAGTATGCTGGATTAAACCTAGACTTACTGGAAAAACAAAGGCACCAATAGATGACGAATATAAAACTGCTTTGTTATCATATCCCCAAAAATCAACGACTTTTTTACTCGCTGTATAGACATCTTGAATACCCCTCATTTTTTCAAACTCATAATACGCCTAGGCCTAACCGCTCAAACACCGGACAAAAATCTGTGGAACTTCCCGCATGTTGTTCAAACAGGCTATTCAGCAGGGGAAACTCTGGTGGCGTCGCCAGAGGGGAAGGAGTGAGAGGTGGGAGAGTGAGAGGGGGAGAGTGAGAGGGGGGAAGTGAGAGGGGGGAGAGTGAGGAGGAAAAGGTACATTTTTGAGGAGGGGGAGGGGAGACGAAAGTGGGCGTGGTCGGACGTCGATTAAAATGTTTCGAAAGTGGTCCAGGGGCAGAGCCCCCGAAAATAACGGTTCGTCATAGTAAATGATAAAGTATTAAAGTAAAAGTAAAAGAAGTATATTTTTTTTTCTCCCCGAGGAATTGTGGTTTTTCTTGTGGGGGGTGGGGGGAGGATTCCTATTCGAAGAGAAATATAGCGAGGGGAAATATATCTTTTAACGACGCCATGGGCCAACCCCTTAAAGGGACAGTAAAAGGCCTGTATCTATATTCTTTAGTTATAAGGAGACAGGCCTAGGGGACACTAGTTTTTTTTGTTTTTGTTTTTTTTTAATTGTATCAAAACATCTAGGCCTACGTGGTGAGTCATAAGAAGTATTTCTTCAAGTTTATATTTTGAGCAATTATAATTCCCTCAGCATCAAAGGCAATAGTCCTATGATAATAATTTAAAGTTCCTTGTATCTAGATACAAAGTGTTATAACCTTGATAAAACCCGGATATTAAGTTAAGGATCGATATTTTAGTTAAAAATTTAAAAAAATATTTTTTTTGGATTTTCCCTAAACGTGGCCAATACATTTTTTTTTAAACCTAATTGTAGGCCCTGCTAGTACAGTACACCACGTTCAACCAAAATTTTTGACCATGACATCCAATAAATCCAATTTAAAAAAAGAATATTTGGTCATTGCACTTGTATCATAAATTTTTTTTTATTCCCCGACAAATCTCTCATCCACTTCCGACTCTCCTAGATCCTAGCCCTCCCTGTAGCTTCACCACTGCTATTAAGTAATTAAGTAATAAGTAATTAAGTATAGTTCCTACCTGAACTCTGGACTGAGTGATGGCTGTGACCATAGGCGTAGATCCCGGGGGTGGGGGGAATGGGGATATATCCCCCCCAATATTTGACAAGGGGGATGGTCCATTGTATCATCCCCCCCAATATTTTGACTATGTATGGGATAGAATGGAGATTTACACACTTCAAAGACTGTCACAGAAATAATTTGCACTGTATTATGCGCTTACAAAGATGAAAATTAGCATAATGTATTAATGTTGATACTGAAAAATATTTTTCTACGCCACTGGCTGTGACTGACTGAGTAAATGACTGACTGATCGATCTATCGATTAATTAATTTGGTTGAATAATTGATCGATCGATAGATTCAATGGCGTACCGTACCGCAGGTTCAGCAGGTTCGTCGATGGGCCCCCAAGCTACAGGGGCCCCGATCTATAAGGGCCCCCGATCTATAAGGGCACCTCCCCCTTATAAAAAGAAAATCTAATAAAGTAACACGGTACATAAATAAAAATCTAGATTGATAGTATTTATCTTTACATCTGCACACATTATAAGTTTAAAAAAAACAAAACCACATGTTAGCGGTTCATTGAAAATTTGTCCCCGATCTCCAGGACCCCCTTATCATTTAAAATTGTTAATTTTATAATCAATTACCGTACCATGCCAAAGCCCCTGCCCAGTTGTAAAAATTGTCACTCAAACGCCAATGTCATCGTGATGGATGGAAATCACTGTGAAACAGATCGTCATATAAGTTACCAACAAATATCGCTTGTCAGCGAAACTGTCCTTTCTTTTGCTCTAGTGTAAAGACTTTGCCGCTGATTCGCTGAATGATTACTGGGGCGTTTGTCCCTGTACCGTGATATGGGCACTTTGGATTTCATTATTCCTTGCTTGAAAACACTTCACTTTAGCCTGCATGGTGTACTTATATAGCGTGAGACTTACGCTTTCAGGCCCCATCTCAAGCTCTTTTTGTGAAATTTCATACTTTTTTCCAATAATTCACAATAGATCGATTGCAGTTTCATGTGTAAAAGTATGCTTGAACTTATTGCACAAACGATAGTGTCAGTTGTTTTTCATTATGCAGCTCACTTGATGTCGGCATCAAGTGGTGGCTAAAGTTTTCTAATTTTCTAATTAAGACAATTTTCTGAGGGTGCCTTTTCCAGACATCTTTGGATGCTCTAGATCAAACAAATCCGCACCTCGCCCCAACCCCGTACAAGGTGAAGCTGTGCTGTGGAGTTTCAAGCCAGCAGCTATGATAATGTCTCCATCACTCATTCATTCCATCTTCATCATTGTCGTCATCATCATCACCTTATCGTCCTATAATTATTTCATTTTTTTCTTATCTAAATTTTAAACAAAAAGGGAAAAAATCCTTCTTCAAGTAGGAAAAAAAAAAAAAGAAAAAATAAGACCCCTGGTTTTAGTGCTCTTTAACTTTCATTTTGTCGATTTAGTCTAGCCTATCTGCCAATATTTGATTAAATAATTAAAAAATGCTTACAAAGTAACCGGTATAGACCTACTAAAAGCAAATTGCATGAGGCGTTTGATTTATTTAAAAACGCAATAGGCCTACAGTAGGCCTACAATTCAATTGATTTTACATCTCAATAGCGAGAAAATCAAGTTGTTAATGTCTCAAGCCCAATTAATTCGGCAAGAGAGAAAACCGTACCAGAGACTGTCCTTTACTCCAAATTCAAAAGATAATAGATTAAGATTTACTGTAGTTATAGTTCCTTCTGCTATAGATTTTATTTATACTTCACCATAAATTGAAAAATAATAAATTTTACAATAGGCCTATACTCGATTTCATGGGAATGATGTTCAGGCGGGGGATGGTATATGAATTACTTCAGTAAAAGTGTAGTAATTGCTAAGGGCCCCGGCGGTACTCTCGAACTAGGGCCCCTCAGAACCTGGTTACGCCACTGGATCGATTGATCAGTCGATCAATTGATTGATTGATCAGTATCAACTCCCCGGACAGCTCCCTGGATTGATTGACATTGAGCATAATACGGTAGGTCGTCGCGACTTTGACGACGTCGGATCAACTTGGTTGAGGGCGGGCGTTTAATTGAAACTTCAATCATGGCTCATCCAGGCTCACTCGTACACAAAAAGAAAGAATTTATTAACATGTCTGCCCCCCTGGGATACGTCCCAGGGTTGGGTAGAGGGTATGTATACATTATAAATATTATGATGAACATGTTTTACAGATTAATCTTTTGATGTAAATTCTAGATAAGGAGACGAAAATCTAGGCCTGGCTAAGCTCTGCTGTGGTTGATACTCAGGTTCGGAAGCAGCAGCCGGAAGCTTTGTCTTCCCCGTCACTTATTCAAAGCGTGTGGTCTATCATATGCCTGGGATAGGCCTAGACAGTCATACTGTAACAGTGGCAATCAAGACAATGAGTTTTCCATTAAGACGCACTTTTGAGTACTTTTCTTTGCGCTAATGCACTTTAGTACTGTAACACTTCTATCTTCAAAACTTGTCTTTTTACCTACTGTCTGCTCCTAACAATATCTTACGATGTTTCTTCATTCAGATTCTGCTTAATAACATCGGATTTTACTTGTTTACTTACTTGTTTACTTGTTTCCCAAGAGAGTCTCATGGGTATAGAGGCCAAGCAAAACGATGCTTATAGGCCCCTCGAAAAAAAACAGTATATTTAAAATTTAACATAGGGCACAAATTTGAGCGGATGGTCAGCCAAACGTACTTCGATTGCAGATTTAAATAAATTAATAGAACTAGAGTTAACGTCTTCATTCGATAAGGAATTCCACAGCCAAATTGACCTAAATGAAAAAGCACGACTTCTAATAAGTGTCCTACAGTGCTGATGTTTAATCTTAAATGAGTGACCTCTAGTTCTAGCACCTTTATCAAACTCAAAAAATAAATCACCCGAAACCCTATCAATTCCATGGACAATTTTAAAAAGCTGTAAAATATCCGATCTCTGTCTACGAAATGCTAGAGTTGGAAGATTCAAAACTTTAAGTCTAACTTCGTACGGAAAATACATTACCTCTAAAAACATCTTAGCATTTTATTACTAAAAACCATGGCTTTTAACGCCTAATATGGCTCCATCCGTCATCTCCAATGGCGAATTGACGATCGAGCCTAATGCTGTTGCCAGAATTCAAACTTTATGATTTGGTGTTGCCAGAATTAGTAAATCAAAATGAAGCTTCAGATATTCAGAACTCGATGGCTCGTGAAAGAAGGGAAAAGGAAGGCAGCAGAACATGCATACATTATGAAAGAATGTATAAATAAATATATGCAGGTCCTAAGTTCAATGTCCTAGGTGTAATAATGGCCATGATTGACAAATGATTGATTGTAATAATTTTTGGGTCTAAACATAATACAGGTCTTATGCATTTTAGGGTCTAAATGTAATAAAGGTTCTAAGTGTAATAATTTTTGTGCCTAAATGTAATAAAGGTCCTATGTGTAATAAGTTTTGGGTCTAAATGTAGCAAAGGGTCTAATTAATAATATTGCACTGTACCAGAACAACGATATAAACAATACAGCTAAAAATACAAATAACAATTTATGAAAAGGCATCTTTATAACAAAATGAAAAAAAAACAAAAAAAAACCTGGCAACGAACAGAGCTGTCCTTAAAATTGGATAACAACCTGGCAATTAATTATTTATAAACAAACATCGCGAGTCGCTACCGTCATGAATCGCTGGGAAAGAACATTGTTTTTATTAATAAAATGCTAAAAACTGGTGTAATTAGTGAGAGAACTGGATGAAAAAGAATCGTAAGATATTGTTAGGAGCGCACAGTAGGTAAAAAGACAATTTTTTAAGATAGAAGTGTTACAGTACTAAAGTGCATTAGCGCCCTTTTCTTAAACTGGCTAGGCTACTCAGACTTGTCAGATTACTGATGATAAGCCAGACTGTTACTGTTATAGTAAGGCCTAGTAGTGCGCAGGGAATATATCTGCCACGCAAAACTTTGGCCTAGCTAGAGTCCGTGCATTTGGAAAACAAGGGCTGATTTTCACACAAATTTTGCCAAAAACTAGGCTATAATATAATATAATATATATTTTGTAGTAGTAATTACTTTTTTCTATGTGCCCTTATTTCACTTGTAGATTTGAGCAACCCATATTTTTCACTCAGGACAAGGCATTAGGTGAAAAATATTGTATCTATACTTAAATTTCTAGACATTGTGCTTGAGGATATATTTCCCTACTTTTCATTCTAGTCAATTAAAAGTTCACTTTTTCTTTCTGATTTGCAGTGCTACAGGTTTCACTACACGGTCTGATATTGGACCTGCTAGAGAAGCAACAGACATCAGGTGAGTTCTAACACCCTAGTATAAATATTTAGAATTGCATTTTCTCTTTGCTGTATACTCCAATATGAACAGCTTTTGAGTGGTTGGCACTTTTAATTTGGGATTTCAATTGGTTAAAAGGCATTTTACCTATTAGTACATTTTATCGGTTATTCATGGTTGGTATAAATATTTAATTTTTAAGGGCCTGGCAATCGAAATAACGTTATTTGGCAAGGGTGGATTTAAGGGGCCCCCTTTTGGGAGGGAAAAAAAGAAAGAAAAAGAAAAAAAAATGATAGCTTAGAATGCCTCAAATGTTATTTTCAGTCATCTAGAACACAAAAATTTCACGGGGTATGCCCCGGACCCCCCAGGATCTGTCTCTTATACACATCTAGATGTGTATAAGAGACAGAAAATGTTATCTCTGAAATTAGCTGTAGGTTGCGATTTCTCTACAGGAATAATACATGCTTGGATTTTTCTAGCAGAAAGAAGTTGTGTTCTGCTCTTATCCAGTGTATATTTGGCTATGGTGCATCCTCTTGGTATGCTAGTCTGAATAAATCTCTGAAACGTAAATTACAGGTTAACCAGAATAAGATGGCACGTTTAATTATTGGTGCCAATAATATGTTTCATATCGGATATGAAGAGCTATCCAGTCTCGGTTATCTTAATGTGGAGAACAGAGCTAAATACCTTAGACTCTGTCATGTTTCCAGAATTTTTCATAACCGTCATACCTCTTATGTATTCCAAGTTCTCCAGAGTCTGTAATCGTCGTAATCACCTTACTCAAAACAATATGTACAATTTCACTGTTCATAGAACATCTGGTATCGAGTCAAAGTCTTTCTTCAATTTAGGTATCAAAGACTGGAATGCGCTTCCCAATGATTTAAAAATTATTGAAAGCGAGATGCTGTTTAAATAGAAGCTAAAAAAGCTTATTGTTGCTGATATCCTTGTACAACTATCCTGATTTCCTGATATCCGTTTTTCTTAATAAGCTTATACAGTATTTATCTTTTCGTTTAAGTTTATATTTTTTATAATCATATTTCATAAATATCATACCGTCTTTTATATATTTGGGCCTCTATATTTATATACTGATTCTGATGTTCTGCTTTGGACCCCATTGGAAATAAATCAACTTGTAGTTGATTTTTATGGGTCGTCTATGCATTAATTCTCGGCTTCTACTGCCAATTTTTATCTGATTTTTGTATGTCATTGTTTTGTAAATTGTTGTATTTAAATGGATGCTAAATAAATAAATGAAAATAAATGAAAAATGAAAAGGGGTGACGCCATTAGGGGTGGGGAGGAGAGGATCCGTCGGGGAGAGCTTCCTCTCCCCCCGCCGAAACAGAGTAGGTCTATGTACTGTATTTTCTACATATTAGTAGACTCTAAAATCAAATTAATAAAGCCAACTTTTCTCCCATCGGGGACATCGCCCCTCCCCCCTCTCGTCGGGGACCTCGGACGCCCTCTGCACTACATCCCTTTTTAGGGAGATTATGGCACCTCCAGGTAACCGGAAATGGCACTCTCAGACATAAATTTGAATATGGTTATCTTTTTGTCTCCATTTTTTTTAATTTTGAAAAATATGTGAGGGAGGGGTTTCCCATTTGAATCCGCCACTGATCTGGTTAATGAACTTTCGTAATATTTAGTATTATTTTGCTGCACATTGTGATACACATTGGCAATGCTTTCCCTGAGAAAATTGATAATAAAGCAGTGAAAACGTGAATATATTATGAATTTGTGGGATATGGGTTAATTTCCGGGAGATACCTGCTTGCTTGCAGGAGTGCGGGAGACCGTCCCGATTTCCAGGAGACTTCCGCGAGTTCCAAGAGACTTGGGACCCCTGAACTAAATTACTGAATGAAACTAGCTTGATAGAGATTCTGCAAATTTTTTATTTATATAGTTCAATGGGTATTCAGGGAGTCTATTCTCACGAGGTCCATATGAAAAAGATGATGAAGAAGCAGATGCAATCTATGATGCCATTGACAAGAGGATGGATGAGAAGAGGAAGGAAAGAAGGTTTGTAGAAAATTTTCAGCATTCCAAATATGTCTTATAAATTAAATGTCGATGAAAGATGCTTGTTAATTGAATAGTTTTATATAAAATCTATTTACAGAGAGAAAAGACTACGTGAAGAAATTGAAAAATATCGTCAAGAGAGGCCTAAGATTCAACAGCAGTTTTCTGATTTGAAGGTAAATATGAAGGAATTACAGTTATCAATAATGGGTACTATACCTTTTAAATAAAAACGATAATAGTAATAATAATAATAATAATAACAATAAAATATACTTTTGATTTAACTTAACTACCAACTACACTTTTTCTGTTTCTTTTCCACCTCCCCTATAAACATAATACTGTATTATGATAATAATAATAATAAGACTTATTTAGTCTATAATGTATAAGTGTATAATGAAAGAAAATAAAGAAAACTAAGAAATTGCAAAAACAGTTTGAAGAACTCTTTTAAAAAATCAAAGTGGTACAAGTAAATATTAAATAGTATTTTATTCCAAAGACAGTGAGTCGCAAATGACCTATCACTCCTATGAACGTGTTTGACCTAGGCTCAACAAGCAGAAGTTTGTCAGTACTGGACCACAGTGTTGGTGATGGCACGTACCACACCAGTAGTTCACAAATTTACTTTAGACCTTCACCTGTGTAACACTAAATCCTGTAGGAAGGGTGTTATTTTTGCTTTGATTTTGTTTGACTCTTATCATTTTATTGAATTCTGTATAGCGTAAGCTAGCTGAAGTATCGGAAGATGAATGGACAAGTATCCCGGAAGTTGGTGATGCTAGAAACAAAGCTCAGAGAAATCAACGTGCTGATAAGTAAGTCTCCCTTGTATTTACTAAGTTGAAGGAAGTTTTGATAGCATTTATGCTTCAGATCAGATTTTTATTTCTTATTATTTCATTCAAAATTATGTCCAGAGCAAAACCACTAGACAAGGTTCTAGTATGGTTATGCTATGACACCTAAACTGAATTTTACAACAAATTTAAATTACAATGCACTTTAAATAGCAGAAATTTACCATAGGTCTTTGTATAATTTTACCCCCTTAAAAATTTTCATGATCAGAGGCAAAACAAATTTTTGTTGCAGGCCTGTCCTGGGCTTTTGCTTGGGAAACACTGGTATGTAAAATCAGATGTAAAATAAGGGTGTGGTCTTATACCTAAGGAATTATGATATCTTATTTTCATCCATTACTGAATGATTTACCAATTAAAAATGTGGGTCTCAGGATGGACTTCTTTTAGTTGTTCAAAAAAGCTGATTAGCTCTGTTGGCTAAACTAGTGTTAGCCACTGTGTGTGCACTAAACCATGGAGATCTCTAAGTCCCTGGTTCAACTCCCATCACTGCCTTGGCTGGAGAGCTGAAATGCAAGGTACAATAGTGCGCTGTCTTTCGGACCATGTGCATCTTAAAGATTGCAGTACACTCTTTGGAAAAGAGTAAGGGATTGTCTCCCTGTGAACTGCCCAATCACTACCAAAAGGACCCCACTGAATCTCAGAATTTGTGAGTTATCATTGGTGTTTACACCGGATAAATTCATCCATCGTCCAGTTTTTTAACCCTGGACTTCGGGATTAGAACCGAATAAGTTACAGCTTCACTCAATCCAGGTTATATTGCATTAACTGTCATCGTATCACTTATATTTCTGCAGGATCACACCGGTTCCAGACAGTTTCCTTGCCAAGCATGCTGGTGGCCAGGACCATCACACAGTTCTTGACCCCATGCAACAGGTAACGATGAGAATAGTTGTTCATTAACCTACAGCACTTTATAGCCTATTGGAAAAGTGCTATATAATTAAACACACATTTAAAAAGAATAGTGTTAATACAGTTGAACTTGCCTAAATCAAATCCAAAATGGCATCGACTTAGATAAACTTTTACTTGCAGATCGCTAATTAATGGAAAACAATCAATTTAGCAAGTAAAATAAAATTGACTTAGAAATAATTTGATGTTAGGCAACCTTGATTTAGGCAAGTTAAACTGTAAATGCTATAATATATTGATCAAATGTGTCCCACCTATCATATACAGGATTCATGTGTCCAAGTATGCTGCTGGGGATAGGGTCGGGATCTGTGTCAGACCTAAAGTATTAATTTGCCTATCAAAAACATTATTTTGATTGCCAATTCCTAATAATATGGTCTAAAAGCACAATTTTGGGGCAACTAAGCCATCAAAAGCCCCTCACCATGAACCCCACCAGGACCCTGATTGAGGCTCTTCTAGGCCCTCTTGATGCGGACACAGCTGTCGGACACTGCTGTCAGACATTTTGCAATCTTCATAAGCCAGTTTCTGGAGCCACCACTTCTCCACTTCTTCTTTCGTATATTATTGTAATTTATGTATTCCATACATTTTGATTCAATTTTCCATGCAGAGCACTGTTTTAACTGTTCTTTATTTGAAGGTGGATCTTGATGCTCCTCTATCTTGAGCTAACTCCCTTTTCCCAGAGGTCGCTTTTAATGACTTCATCCCATGCTTTCCATATGCTCAACCAATATTAATCTGCCCATTTAAATACAGTTCCTGATGCCACCTATACGTTGAGTCTATCCCAAAGTTATTATGTGGGCCTTCTATCTTTTAAACTGACGTGCCACATCAAGCGCATCATCTTCATCTCTAAATTAACAAAAATTCATTCATTCCCATGTTCATTCCTCTAAATTTAATGAATGCATATCTCCTATTTTTAATGATATTTATTTTTTCTGTATAGAATTATGGAGGTTTCCAAACACCATATCCTGGTTTGATGTCGTCTGGTTTGATGACCCCCTCTGGTGAATATGATTTGAGGAAGATAGGTGAAGCTAGAAACACCTTGATGGATGTACGACTCAATCAGGTAACTACCATTATTTCGAAGACAATATCGATCATTAATAGTTTATAGTCCTTTTCCAAGAAGACTTGTTCCACCACCAGAACCATAGGCTAGTGTACTGTTCAAGCCGGCGCTATTATTATAGCTGTACGTTTCAGCGCCTCTGCCTTAACTGCTGGGCCATCCAACTCAAAACAAAATGCCTAACTTCTAGATTTATTGTTAAACACACTTTTTTTGTGCGCTACATTTTAGGTGTCTGATTCCGTGAGTGGACAGACTGTGGTTGATCCCAAAGGATACTTGACTGACTTACAAAGTATGCTGCCCTCTTACAGTGGTGATGTGGCAGACGTCAAGAAGGCTCATTTACTTTTGAAGAGTGTTCGTGAAACCAATCCAAAGCATCCACCAGGTAGGCGATCACTTTTCAAGGATCTCTAAATTTAGTTCCATGGCCAAATTTAAATCGTGTGCTTAAATATTTTCATTGCAAATCGTGTGCTTAAATATTTTCATTGCAATTCTACCTGAGAGTATAGGCCATTTAATGTGTATATAAGGGGTTATAATTGTGTGCATTTTGATGTATCCAATATTAGTTCAATAGAAAACATTGCTTTTTTTTTATATGGAGCAAAAGATTTGTATAGGTGTTCTTCAGATGGGATTCACATAGTTGTATAATAATTAATAAAACAATGAATGAAAAAATGGATGGAAGGACGGACGGACGGACTGATGGATAGACAGATGAATTGATTAATTGATTTTGAATTCTGATCTTCTTGTCAGTCTATATTTTATCATAAATTTGATTTTTTTTTTTTTTTTTTTTGAACTGAACTCTTTTTATTACTCTTTTTATTATTGTGTACTGTATGTGTCTATTGCAGCATGGATTGCCTCAGCTCGTCTTGAGGAGGTGACAGGTAAACTGCAGGCTGCCAGGAACATCATTATGGATGGCTGTGAGGCTTGTCCAAAGAGTGAAGATGTGTGGTTAGAAGCAGCTAGGCTCCAGGTACTATTCTACTAAATTCATCAGCATAAGACATGCCTTTTACTATATATAACAGTGGACCAGGGAAATATACACTCTATGATGCACAAATAAGTTGCAGCATGGTGGCTAAGATGTTTGCCTCCCTATCATTTCTAATGTTAATAAAATGTTTTGCAAGTGTGTTTTATCAAACAAAGTTGTTTGCTGTTCTCTCTCCAATTAGAGACCATTTTTGGGACTAGGGTTTCCATGGTCTTTAGCAGCTTTGATATCTAATTAGAATAATAATGATATTTGTTAATATTGGACCACAGACAAATGGTCATTAATTGGAGGTTGTCTTTGATTGAAGGGTCTTTAATTAGAGTTAGTCCAGTATTTGGGACACTTGATGCATCTTGCTTGAGTCCTTGGGCAAGGACATTTCCTTATACTGTATTGGTCTTCCTCAACCCAAGAGTAATAATCTTGCTTATCCATATACTGGGAAATTAAATGTGCATGATGAGTTGCAAATGCTCTCAACCCCCATCCCCATCCCCAGCACTGTACAATCTGGCCGAAATATCAAGGAGAGATGGGAACTCTAGCCTGTGAGCTCTGAACTCTTTTTTTCAAATTTACTTACCTAGTTTTATTTTGGTTAACTTGTTTCTCAGCCTGGTGACGCTGCTAAGGCAGTTATAACCCAAGCAGCTAGGCATCTTCCACAGTCTGTGAAAATCTGGATTAGGGCTTCTGACTTGGAATCTGAAATCAAACAGAAGAAAAGGGTTTTGCGTAAAGGTAAGAGAACATTAGGGATCCACAGGTGTTTTGGATTGACAGTCAATCAGTATCAATTGAGTAGCTTAATACATTTTTCTATTAGATGTAAGAAATGGATGTAATACTTTGTTGTTTTAGTATTAATGTACATTTTTATAAACTAAACTATTTTTTAAATGTAGATAGTATTACATTTGTAGTATATTGCATTTGACTTTGTGGATTATTATGTTACTAATAACTATTAACAAAGTAACCAAGTTTTTTTAAGCATGTGGGGAGAATTAAATAAGATTAATAATTATTTTTGCCTGAATGATTATAGCACTGGAGCATATTCCAAATTCGGTTAAGTTATGGAAAGCAGCAGTAGAATTAGAAGATCCGACCGATGCTAAGATCTTGCTTGGTAGATCTGTGGAATGTTGTCCAACCAGTGTTGAAGTAAGTGTGTAATTATTGTGCTTTCATTTTATTTTTATTTTTAATGCCTGATTTTTCCATATTTGGATGTGGTATGACATCATTATGCCCATATATGTGTATGATATAACATCAACTTGCCCAAATATATGTGAAAGTCATATGTATTTGGCACATGCAACTTTATAGTTTAGATAAAGCTTTAGGTCACAGGCCGAGTTGTTTTATCTGTGAGATAAATTTAAGACATGTTTAGTATTCAAACTCATTGCCTTAGGATTAGCTACAGCTTATTACTTGAATATCATAATTTAATTTTCCAGCTGTGGTTGGCACTAGCTAAACTGGAGAATTATGACAATGCTAGGAAAGTGTTGAACAAAGCACGTGAGAACATTCCTACTGATCGGCAGATCTGGATCACCGCCGCCAAACTTGAAGAAGCCAATAACAACTCTCAGATGGTGGACAAAATTATTGACAGAGGTAGGTCTATTTAAATTCTATAAAAACCATTGAAACTACAGTACCAAGTTTACAATTATTAGTAAAACAATAATATGCTCATGTTTTTAATCTTTATAGAGTAGTGATTTTATGTTTTGATGTTGATGTCTTTTGCTCAAGTTTGATTATTCATTTGCTATTGCTATAAGAAAAGTTTGAATAAATATATAAAGACCATGGAGATTTTTACATAACCTTGGTTCCCAGTTCAATTCCATCTGCAGCTCACCGTCTTTTAGATGAGACATTAAAGTTGTTGGTCTTGTTGCCCATGTCTGTTAAAGAATGTAGGAAAAAGTAGAGGATGGTTTCCTGGAGTACTGCTCAATTCACCACCTGAAGGACCCCCAATGGAACAAGTCTTCAGAATTTTGCAGGATTATCCTTTGTGCATTTTGCACTGATTAAATCCAATCCAATACTTAAGCAAAGCAACCAGCCTCTAACTGACAACCCCTGAAGTTTCATAGCCTTATTGGACTGCTCAAAATTCCTCCACAACACTTTTTTTAGTTCCTATGCATGTAATGCAATAGGAACTATTGTAATCACTTGCTATTTCCTATATTTTTTATTGTGTGTAGTGTGTGCGTGTGTGTGTAGACATTTATGCAAATGCGCATGCGTCAAAGAAAAGTTTTCCGACATTTTGTCGCGATGCGAAGATGGATGTGAAGTTTCTGCAGAGTTTAGTCAGGGCTCACGCTAACCGACCGGAAAGTCAGCATGGATGAAACTATTTTGGTTTTACGGCAAAAAAAATCAACTGCTGTAGGCATAGGTATTTTGAAGAAGGCCTAAAATAAAACTAAAATGTTTTAATACTTGCTGAAATACATCGTTTTTTCCTTTAGATCTCCATTTTTCACTAAGTCCATGCGACGTTATTTTCTGTTGTACGTATGATTAGTTGTATGAAGGTACTATATCCCCGACATTTGGCTATGCAGCAATGTACCCTTTGAAT